CTCTGCTGTGTTAAACCCACTCCACGCCCTCTCACCTCCCTTGCTATGACTTACGCTGCCGGGAGGAGCAAAGTTAGGGAGGGGGGATACTTACGCCAGGCTGCACTGCTCACCAAAATACTAAATTGGACCTGACTTACGCCGCGCCTGCGGCGAGGCATGAAAATAGAGTCCTCTATTTTCGATTTGGACTTTTTATTCAGTGACAGCTTCACCAAACTTTGATTTAAAAATAAAAAGGTTTTCTATCATCTCTCAAAACAAAACCAGTGAAAACGATGTAGTGCATATGCCAAGTCAGTAAGTGGCACTGAAACGCTGACCAGGAAATATGCAAAAGGTGAATAAAGGTTGTTTTGGCCTTTATATGCAGATGCCATGATAGAGTTACGCTGTGTGTAACATAATTGTTTTGAGAGATGCTAATAGGCATCCACGCGGACATGAAATGGCAGTCGCTTACAGATTTATGCACTCTCTGTCCCATTTTCAAAGAGTACCGTTTACAGTGACCCAAAACGCTAAACCCAAAACAGCAAAACCGTACCAATTCCACATGACTGACTTTCTCTTGGCCTATCTATCCACGAAATTATCGCCTTCTTTTGCAAACGCCAAGTTTGTTTACACTGGTGTGTGTGGGAACTGGGGAGCGCTCCCACGAGAAGGGGGAGCCTATGGTGGCCTGGAGGCACGAGACATGATAGAGAGGAAAAACTATTTGATGATTTCAATTTTTTTAACATCGACATAATCAAATAATCCGATTGGGATTTAAAATTAATTAATTAATCGTGCAGCCCTAGTTCTCATCATTCAACAACAATCTCTCCTCCTGGATTCCATCTGAGCTAAGAATTTCTACATTCCTATGTCTTAAGGGCAGAGTTATATGTTTGAGCTTGTTGTGGGGCAGAATGAGAAATCATGTTAACAATCAAAAATATTGAATGTGTCAAAATCAAACACCTATTACTGACAGTTTTAGTTATCTGTCTTCACACATCAGTATTATAAGGCCTTATTAGTCACTTTCAGCAGAACAGCTGATGCATTGACTATGTTTGGAGTAAACTGCCCAATGCCTCAAAAATGTCTCTAAATCTTTGTGGAGAATATGACTGCTTGTGTTTGACTTGGAAACAAACGTGACATGGTTGTCATTAGCTGCTTTTATTGGACCATAAAAAAGATGGATATATGATTGCTAGTGAAGTATATGTCAATGCTAGGCAAAGAAAATCTTATGTGTTAGACATGGATTTATAACTGTCATTAATGTATATATAGTTTGCATTAATGGGTGCAGTTAAGCTATGACTTCTATGGATGATTGATGCTAATAAATAAGTAAAGGAGGTAGGGGTGTATCAAGAAAAAAGCCCATTAGGAGTCAGAAAAGATGATGCAGAGATTCCAAAAGGTGAAAGAAAATCAGCTGATTTAAAGGCATTGTTGACGATTGTAGAAGCAGTTGAAAAAATATGAGCCATTGAGGCAGATCTGAAACCTCGCCCCTCCATCCCCCAAACACACACACACACACACACACACACACACACACAAAAAAAAACCTCTCCCCTCTGTGCTCCACGATAACTCCCCCCCTGTATCAAACATGTATTGCCCTCCACACGACACAACCCCTTTGGCAGAGCAAGAAGCCGGCCGGCAGAAGATCCTATGCTAGCCTCAAATAGGATTCACCATTTCGGATGGCTAATGACTTGTGGCAGTAAAGTCAGCTCTGCTAGCAAGCACCATCTGCAGCTGCCTGGACAGCTACCATGTTGACATTGCAGAGACTAATAAGACTTAATTATGTAACATGTGCCACGATATAAGGCAAAAATTACCTATTCAACAAAAACTCTGCTGTCTGTTTTCAGGCCCAAATCCCGGCAGAGCTTTCTCCACCGCTGGAAGGATGACCCAATGTTTATTGGAGTTAGATTTCTCACTTGGTCACATTTCTTCTTCGTCTCTGCCCTTTCTTCTGTTGGCTTAGATTTTCTTGCCCAGCAACTAGAAGTGTTTTTTTTCCTTTCCTTCTCCATCACAGCTCCTGTCGCTAAGCTGCTACGCTATTTTTAGCTGCGCTGAGGAGGGTCGGGAGAGTGGGAGAGGACAAGTCGGAACTATGGGAGGGGGGTGTGTCGAATACAGCGAGATAATTGGATGGAGAGGCGGAGTAGGAGATTTACCAATAGGAGCTGTCTGGGACGGATGGCTCCCATTGGTCAATAATTTGCAGCCCTGCACCTTCTAGGGTGAACAGATTTTTTCCATTCTCTTTTTCTCTTAACTTTGTGGAGATCGCACTGTAGGACCATGATTGCCATATAAACAAGGTTCATAATAATTACCAATCTCTCCAATCGTCAACCATGCCTTTAAGTAAGACGTCGAGTGATGCTGCTGCGAAACAGTAAAGTCAGAACATTTACCTGTGGGCTACAACTTCACATTCATACCGAAGAGTGTTGGAGCGATAGAGCAACCAGCTTGGTTTCCACTGAGTAAGAAAGAAATAGCGTATAAGAAAGTCATACTGTCAAATATCAGATAAATTAAACAAAACTCACAAGCAGTTTTTTGCACTTCTGCAACGCTTTCAGGCCTAAAGATTAACTTTATAGAAATAGTCATTATGCAAGTGACACGAACATTATCATTGGTCTGTTTTGTAACCCGATAAAAGCTTTTAAACCATGGGCTATTAAAAAGTCTAAGAGAATGACACCAACCATACCCTAATGACACAAGCACTGGAAGCATTTTTCCCAAATACTACATATGTAAAGAAGACTCTTAAAGGTCCAGTTTTTCTTGTCAGTTTAATCTTGGATAGGGTTGTAAAACATGATATTGTGACTACCACAGTTTGCTATCATGATTAACACCGCCTGTCCAAGAGGGGAGACTTCATAATGTGATTTATGGGTGAGAGTCCCCGAAATGTTCCTGAATTTTGTCAGAATGAATGTCTGAAATCAGCTTTTCTGTGATAGTAACCAAGGTTACAAGGGAGTTTTTAAACTCATTGCTAACAAAAAACACATGAAATACTCATGGACATGGTTTGATTCGTTTAATATGAGCCTGAGCTTAACACTCAACAGAGTTTTGTAACTCGTTGTGACAAGACGTTACCACAGCTGATACTGCCGACTGCAGCTGGGTGTTTTAGCAGTGTTGTGCCCAAACACAATTAATGAATGATCATTCATGAACTCGTTCATATTTCGGGGGAACGTGAACGTATCGTTCTTTATTTGCATAGGAACGCGTTGGTAGAGAACATGCTCATTCTGGCGTATGTGAGTGGCGTTCTTAACTGCGTTCACAAGTATGTCAGATGTGCAGAGCCTTCCAGTGAAACCTTAGTTGAAACACACCCCACAGGCCTTTATATTTAGCAGTAAGTCACCCAATTTGGCAACCGCAAGCAGCCGGTCTGTTACTCCAATAAATATGTCAGTTGTCACGACTTCAGTATACATGATGGACGAGGGAGGTAGCACTAGCTGCCCAGAGCACACAGACTGGTATGAGCATTTTAAAGAGTTTTATGTACAAGTCAGCAGACAGTAAAAATCTAACCTTTTTGTTTAAACTTTGTCTGCCTGGTTTTAGGAAGCAAGTCTGAACATCGACAACATCTAGCAAACCATAAACAGATATGATATGATATGATATCATTCAAATTATCATATCATTACTAATTGTTATTGTTATTTACAGTATTTGTTATGGTTCCTATTTGGTATGACTGAAATGGAATTTGATGTGAATTGTTTCCAGGTAGGTTTGGAAAGTATAGAAATGAAAAGAAAGTCCTGTTGTAATCAAAAGAAAGAGTCTGAAAACCATTCAAGCAGCAGGTTTTCCTCATGTTTATGAAAATATACTCTAGAGATGAACATTCCTACAAGTGAGGACTGAACAAAACATTAGGGAAACGCCAGTATTCTGAGGGCTGTCTTCTCAATGCTATTGTAAACCTAGTTGGGTTAGGATACAAAAATGGATATGAAGATTAATCTGATGCAGTTTCAGTGTTAAAACAGCTAAAATAATTGCTGTCTGTGGTTCTATGTGAGCTCCATAAAAAATCTTGACAAATAATAGCTTGCAGCAAAGTATTGGAGAAAAAAAGAAATTAGTTCATTTTTGGGAACCATGAACTCAAGGTCAAAATGTGGAATTATGAACAATGAACTCAATTAGTTCATTTTAAAATGTGTGAACTGAACTTTGAACTAGTTCAGGTAGAAAGTTAACTTTCCCAGCATAGGGCCAGTTACAGTCAATGCTTTGAAAATGAAATGTCTTTGCCACATTATTATGCCATATTATTAAGCACTGTTAATCAACCTTTGCAAGTTGCATCTCTTGCTTTGATCCCCTCCTTGCAACTATATCTTTGAACTGATTCACAAATGACGTGATGATACATCACATTACTTCAGCTCAGCAGGTCCTGGCTTCTGTGGGCCTTAAATTCTTGGAGGTTCAGCTCTGAAAAGATTTATGCTGTTAGGAACTGAAAAGTGGAACCAAAAATCAAGTGAAAGGTCAAATCCAGGAATATTAGACATGTAGCTCTAGTTTTATGTTGTTTTTATGTAATTGATCAGCTGCCCTAGTTGCTCATAGTTGGACTACAGACCTTTTGTCAGCAGTATAGTGAACAGATTTACTGTTCAGAGAAAATGTGCCTCAAGCAAGCTAGTTAACAGTGACTGTGAACAGTATTTGAGACCCTTAATCCAAAAGTGTTAACTGAATTGAATGTTGGCAGAGATGTCCTCAGATGGTCTGCAATGTTAGACAGGTGGGTGAGTAGGTTGGCAGGCACTTTCTTCATCTCCAAGAGAAAATTATATTTCCAACAGCTTGACAAGAATGGAAACACATTGGCATGCATGGTTGAGAGATAAAATCTAAAAGATAGAAATAAAGATAAGAATAAAAATAAGAATATAAAAATTATGTAGGATCTGCCAAGTTTGGATCAATTCTGCAGTTATGCAAATGACAGAATATCATACAGTACAGCAACAGGCAGTTGTACTTACTTGAAACTATGCAGACCATGGAGGTTAAACACTGATGAATGGGGTAGCAGCCATGACATTAGATTACAAAATCTAAGAGGCCCTTTCAAAGTAAGAGCTTTGAGGAAGAATGACTTTGTGAAAGTGCATATTCAATTAAAGTAACTTTGTTTTATTATGTTGACCTAATACAGACATCAGAAACACTTGAACATATTAAAGCTTCTTAACTTAGGAACACTGTAAACAAGACGTGAGGTTGCACTCTAATGGCTGCGGCAAGGACAGAGAATGCAACAGGCTAACTACCAAGACTTAACCCAAACAGACATACATAATACATTTAAATTTCAAGTACAATAACTCAGCTTCTTTGTTTTTGCTCTAACTGCAGACGCAACACACACAGAAGTGCTTTTCCACATGCAATAGGAACAGTTGGTTTTAATTATGATGTAGGGGACAATGATATATTGTAAATTTTGATATTTTTGCATCACATTTGCATGACGTTGAGTGCTGAATGCCTAAGATCACCTGACAGACACATTAATGTGCAAAAAGTTTTTTATTTCAGCTCAGTCTTCCTTTTTAGCAACTAACACCATTGATTTTAATGAAGTTAACATTCTTTGTGGACCATGGGCTGTGCCATTATGCAATAAAAACAACGACAGCTGAACATTTGATTTAAAGATTCCAGCTCTCTGGTTTTCTGATTGAACTGTGGTGAGACGCCTCCTCCTCATGTTTTATTTTGGTTGGACTTCCTGTTTTTCTTTGTTTGCCTGGTATGGCTTGACTCTTTTCCAGAGCACCCTCCCCCTCCCCGGTCGCTGAGGCTGAGTGAGACTCCACACCTGCACTGAATCTGCAATCAAGGCCTTTAAGAAGCCAGCAGCCCTCAGTCTCAGCGCCTGAGTATTGTCTTCACTCCCAAGTGGTACAGACGCGTCTTCTGGCCTTCCTTTTGAATAAGTGCTCGTAACTTTGCTCTGTGATTCATTGTATGTTTACGCACTTCCATCTCCTCTGTTTTCTACGCAGTGTCTCCAGCCCACACAACAGCCAGCCAGCCAACCGGACTTTCTCTTTTGCCTTCACCTCTGAGTTTGGCCATTAAAATTACATCTTAATTTGCTATCTGCCTCTGTGTCTGCTTCTGGGTCCTCAAAATACACCACACGCCACAGAATTCTAAGGCAAGGATAATGGACCCAGCAGACCCGGACAGGTTCAAGCAAGCCATCCACAAGCTTGGGGCTCCCCTCGGTCAACATGGGATATGCTCCAGGGCCTCAATCAGCCCTTCGAGGGTCTCTCAGTCCAAGTAGTGCAACTTGCGGAGCAACTCCTCTCTCGGCTTCCACCGCAGCTATCTGGGTCTCCCCCCTCTGTGAGTATGGTTCCCTCTACCTTCTCCGCCCTCACCTAACATCAAAGAGCCCTTTGTCCCTCCTCCTGAGCTGTATGCTGGGGAGATTGGGGGCTGCAGAGGTTCCCTCTTCCGCTGTGCGTTAGTGTTAGATCAACAGCCAATTAGTTATCCCTCGGATCGGTCCAAGGTAGCCTACACCGTGAACCTATTGAGAGGCAAAGCCTCTAAGTGGGCTACTGCCATTTGGGATAAGGGTTCGCCAATGTTTTCCTCATATGCCAGATTCACTGAGGAACTTTGCGAAGTGTTTGATTATCCTGTCGAGGGTCCCAAATGTACAAAACAGTTGTTTTCCCTCACCCAGGGCTCTCCGTCTGTGGCAGAATTTTCTATTGAGTTCCGCACAGTGGCGGCCGAGAGTGGGTGGGGGAAACTAGAATTAAAGGGTATATTCTCTTGTGGTCTGTCGGGACAGCTTATAGATGAGCTAGCAGATCCTGATGAACCCTCCTCACTTGAGGAGCTAATCGCGTTAGCCATTAGGTTAGACAATCGCCTCAGGGAGAGACGGAGGGAAAAGAAAGTAAATTCCCCTACCCATGGCATAGACTCCCCATTCTCTGTCACGGTCAGCGTGTCTCCTCTGCAGCCCTCAGTTTTTCTGGATCTGGCGCCCTCTGCCGGGGAACGCATGCAAATCGGCCGCACCAAACTACATCCCAGTGAACGGAAACGACAGATGGAGCAGAAGCTCTGTGTTTATTGTGGCCAGGCTGGCCACTTTCTGCCCAACTGTCCAAACAAGTTAAACGACCAGGCTCATCAGTGACAGAGAGCACCCTGATGAGCCACACCTCCTCTGTCCCCAGCTCTCCCAGACATATCTCTGTACCTGCTTGCCTTCTGTGGGGAAAAGAATCTACGTCTCTCCAAACCCTAATTGACTCTGGGGTGGACAACAACTTCATTCACGCCAGACTGGCAGCGCAGCTTAAGCTCCCCCTGGACGTACTCCCGGTTCCCCGTAAGGTCACCACTCTCAATGGCAGGGTTATAGCCACCATAACCCACTGCACTACTCCTCTTACCCTCATCCTCTCTGGAAACCATCGTGAGGACATCCGGTTGTTCTTGCTTCCCTCTCCGCACTCACCCCTTGTGCTTGGACTCCCGTAGCTGCAGATCTACAACCCCCAAATCAACTGGTCCACAGCTTCAATCTCCGCCTGGAGTCCTCACTGCCACTCTCATTGCCTCCGCTCCGCCAATCCCTACATCCACCGACAGAAGTCAGCATGACCACCACCATCTCTCGCCTCTGTTCCCCCCGTTTCCTATGATCTGGCCATGGTTTTCAGTAAGGAGCAGTCTCTCGTCCCTCCTCCTCATTGCCCATATGACTGCGCCATAGATTTGCTCCCTGGCGCCCCTCTCCCCAGCAGCAGACTGTACAATCTCTCTCGGCCTGAACGAGAGGCCATGGAGGAATACATCCAGGACTCCTTGACATCTGGACTCATCCGACCCTCATCCTCTCCCCTTGCTGCTGGATTTTTCTTTGTGAAGAAAAAAGATTCCTCTCTCTGTCCCTGCATCGACTTCCGCTGAAGCAATGAGTTCACCATTAAAAACAAATATCCCCTGCCACTCATCGATCCCTCCTTCGAACCTCTCTGCAAGGCCACCATCTTCTCCAAACTGGACCTCCGGAATGCCTATCACCTGGTTCGCATCAGGGAGGGTGACGAGTGGAAAATGCCTTCAATATACCCATAGGCCACTTCGAGTACCTCGTCATGCCCCTTGGCCTCACCAATGCCCCTGCTGTGTTCCAGGCTCTCATTAAAGACGTCCTCTAGGACATGATCAACCAATTCGCCTTCGTCTATCTGGACGATATCCTGATCTTCTCCCACAACCTGGAGAAACATCAACAGAATGTTCGACTGGTCCTCCAGTGACGAAGAGAACCACCTCTTCGTCGAACTCAAGAAGTGCGAGTTCCATGCCTCCTCCATTAGCTTCTTTGGATACATCATCGCCCAGGGGGAGCTACGCCCAGACCCGGAGAAAGTCCACGCTGTCTGTGACTGGCCCACTCCCTCCTCCCGCAAAGACCTCCAGCGATTCCTCGGCTTCGCAAACTTTTACCGGAGATTCATCAGGAACTGCAGCAAGGTGGCTATGCCTCTTACCCCTCTCACATCTCTCAAACTCCCGTTCTCCTGGACTACTGAAGCAGACGCCACCTTCTGTCGACTCAAGTCCCTCTTCATCTCCACCCCAGTGCTCAAACACCCGGATCCCTCCCTCCAATTCATAGTGGAGGTCGATGCTTCAAACTCTGGAGTGGGGACCGTCTTCTCACAGAGGGATTCCGAGACCCAGAAGCTCCATCCTTGCGTCTACTTCTCCCAGAAACTCTCACCCACCGAGCGTAACTATGATGTGGGAAACTGTGAGTTGCTGGCTGTTGTGCGAGCACTCCAAGAATGGAGACATTGGCTGGAAGGAGCACAAAAACCCTTCCTCATCTGGACCACAAGAACCTGCAATATCTCTGTTCTGCTCGACGCCTCAACTCCAGGCAAGCCCACTGGTCCCTCTTCCTCAGCAGATTCTGCTTCACCCTCTCCTATCGTCCCGGCTCCCGCAACGTCAAACCTGACTCCCTATCTTGGATCCACTCCTCAGCTACCTCTGACCCCAGAGAACTGGACACCATCCTTCCCGCCTCCTGTGTCATTTGCTCCGCCTCTTGGGTAATCAACCCAGACCCTGGAACCAGTCCTCCTAAAAGAAAATTCGTCCCTGAGGTTGCACGTTCCCAGGTCCTACAGTGGGGGCACTCCTCCAAACTCACCTGTCACCCCGGATTTCAACGCACCCTCCAATTTCTTCAGCAGCGGTTCTGGTGGCTGGGGATGGTCTGAGATGTACAGGTGTTTGTTGCTGCCTACTCCGTCTGTGCCCGAGGTAAAGCCTCCCACCAACCTCCAGCTGGCCTGCTGCGTCCGCTGCGTGTGCCCTCATGCCCCCGGTCTCACATAGCCCTAGATTTCGTCACTGGTCTCCTGCCTTCTGAAGGTAACACAGTCGTACTCACCATCATTGACAGATTTTCCAAATTCGTACATTATGTCCCGTTACCCAAGCTCCCATCTGCTCTAGAAATTGCCAACCTCCTAGTGTCTCATGTGTTCCAACTACATGGTATCCCCATCGACATAGTTTCAGATTGTGGTCCCCAGTTATCCTCCCAAGTCTGGAAAGCTTTCTGCCAGGCAGTGGGCACGACAGCCAGCCTCTCCTCGGGCTACCACCCGCAGACCAACGGCCAGACGGAGTTGACCAATCAAAACCTTGAGTCGGCTTTGGGGTGTGTGGCGGCCCATCATCCAGCGTCCTGATGTACTCCCCTCCAGTGGATCCAGTACGACCATAACTCCCTCACCTCCTCGGCCACAGGTATGTCTCCCTTCATGTGCTGTTTTGGGTACCAGCCCCCCCTGTTTCCCAAACAGGAGCACCCGGTGGCCGTCCCGTTGGTGAGGGAGCACATTGGGCATCTACAGGAGGTGTGACGATCCGCCAGGGCAGCACTCACCCGCACGGCTGAGCGCAACAAATGCCTGGCTGATGTTCACTGCTCTCCAGCACCAGACTATCATCCCGGTCAGATGGTCTGGTTATCGTCCCATGACCTTCCCCTGCAGACCAAGTCCCTCAAGCTGTCCCCCCGCTTGATTGGTTCCTTCCCTATCCAGAAAATTATCAACCCATCAGCAGTAAGATTGAAACTTCCTCCATCCCTCAAAATTCACCCCACGTTTCATGTCTCCCTGATAAAGCCTGTCACCTCATGCACCCTGAGCCCTCCTTCCATTGCCCCTTCACCCCCCCTGGTTGATTGACGACCACCCTGCCTTCACTGTGAGACAAATCCTGGATGTGCGGCCTCTGGGACGAGGCTTCCAATACCTTGTGGATTGGGAGGGTTATGGTCCAGAGGAGCGGTCCTGGATCCCCCGCTCCCTCAACCCTCATTTGCGTCAAAGTTAGGAGGGTGACAAGAATGGTGAGTCAGAAGTACAGCGGACACATTTGTGAGGAAGCCTGCTAGAGGTGGGACTGAAAGTTAGGTTGAGTCAGCATTACCAATATGACAGCCACCCCTGAAAGGCTTCAAAACTCTACTTTGGTAAAATACCATAATTTAAACTCACAGCACATTATCCTTGCCTGAGAGGCGAAAAGAGGATATAATTTTTTACTCACAGCAATGGCTCTTATTTTTGTTCATATTTAGTATAAACGTTTTGATGTGGCATCTTCTAGTTGTGGCCCTCAGCTATGCACCCATGTAGCATCAATTCCATGGATTTGTGACATTTTTATTCACCTGCAGCCTCATGAGAAACACTAGGGGCTCTATTTTCGTGTCTGCCGGTGAGGCGGCTGAGGGTGGCGTACCCCGTGCAGTGGTATTTCATCTGGTGGAGCCTGGCGTACAGCGAGTTTGGTATTTTCATGGACTGAGGCGCACCGAGGTCCGCCAAGCTGGGTGTGGTGGCGTGGCAGAGGGAGGTGTCAACAGAATCAGCTGGTGCAGGGACATTTTCGTGCTCGCCTTGACGTATAAAGTGCACTGAAAGCTTGCCGATTTAAACCTGGTCAGCTCTCAGTGCAGGCGGAGCGCAGCTGGTCTAGTGGTATTTTGGTAGACCAGCGGCGTATTGGCATACATTACCAATGCCTCACTGGCAGGTTTCCTCAGTGTCAGGCACATTTCAATGCAATAAATAATCAACAACAACTAATAATCTGAGTCAGCACATACATTTAGATCTATATAGATATATTCTGATCTATATCTTATCTGATGAGCACGTTTGGCACGCGTTTAGACACACAACCTGACCGAATTAACACAGCTGAAACCGCATTAAATTTAATCAAATATCTAGTAAATAGACACACATGATGAAGTTAACAAGATATGTAATTCATCTCCCTCCTTTTCTTTCTTCCTCTTCCTTTTATTTCTTGCGCAGCTCGACCTGGACATGTCTCTGTGTCCTCTCCCTGTCCTGCTGCAGCTGCAGCGGCTGAACAGATGATTTGTTTCAGTAATCAGATGAGTTATTTACTTTAAGTCTACATACTAATATTATAATATTCAGTTTTGTGAGCCAAATTTATTTTATATACCAACATCTATAAAAGAAAGAGCCAGACCATGGAGCACAATGCGTCAATACGCACAGATAATTCAGATTTTAATGCCATTATTGGAGTTTATGTTGTGATCTGTGCGCACAACCCACCTTCGTCACGTGAGGTTTAAATATGTGCAACTTTATGTGAGTGTCTTTATTTGTAGAAAAGGATGTTTATCTGACCAGTGGGTCCAACATTACACACACACCAAATCCATCTGTGCTCATATGAGAGAGTGTGGAGGACGCCCTCTGTAGCGTTTACAGCAACACTTGTTGAGGGGCTGCCTTCTGTCACCATAGTGTGGCATAACTATCTTCAGACATCTCTCTTTGACTACTTCAAAATACACCTCGCCGGTGGCGGATTTAAAGGCGAGGAGCTTATGTGATTGGTGAAAACAGGTTTTGGCTGTGTTAAATCCACTCCCTACGGCTTACGCCGCTGGGAGAAGCTGAGTTAGGGAGGGGGGATACTTACGCCGGGCTACGCCGCTCACCAAAATACCAAACTGTATTTGGGAACATGTAGGCATGCGCCGCGTCCCGGGGAGGCACTAGCCCACGGCGTGGCGCTGGGTGGCACAGCCCGCGCAGTGGTATTTAGTGCAGCACAACCCGGTGCACAGTCAGTTCTGTATTTTCGTAGACTGAGGTGCACTGTGATGTGCCAAGCTGGGTGTGGCGGTGCAGTAGGAGGAGATGTCAACAGAATCAGATGGTGCAGTGACATTTTCATGTATGCAGGCTGTATATAAAATGCGCTGATAGCTTGCCAGTTCAAACCTAGTCATCTTTTAACGCAGGCAGAGTGCAGATTGTCAAATGCATTCTGGTAGACTGGTTGGGCAGTGACACACGTCACCGATGCCTCACAGGCAGGTTTCCACAGTGTCAGGCACACTTCAGTGCAGTAAATAATCAACAACAACAACCAATATTCAGTGCAACTATCTGAATCCGCACATACATTTAGATCTATATCAATATATTCTTATCTATCTTCTCATCTATCTCTTATCTGATGGCACATGTGGACACGCTATCTGACCGAATTTACACAGCTGAAACAGCATTAAATTAAATATCCAGTAAACAGTCACACATGTTAAGTTAACAAGATATATTATTCGTCTCCCCCCCTTTTCTCTTTTCCTCTTCCTCTTCTTTCTCGCGCAGCTCGACCCAGACATGTCTCCGTGTCCTCTCCCTCTCCTGCTACTGCTGCAGCGGCAAGGCTGAACAGATGATTTATTTTAGTGATCAGATGAGTTATTAACTTTGCATATTTAAACAAAAAAATAAAAGAAGCTTCCATTCTAAATTACCTGTTTATGTGATGTTGTCACATTCTTAAAATTCTGTGAATATTCAATCAGTAGTTAGGCCCGCATACAAATATTATAATACTCAGTTGCAAGAGTTCATGTTATATGCCAACATCAATGAGAGAAAGAGCCAGGCCAAGGAGCGCGATGCGTCCTTTACACACTGGTGTTTCCGATTTTAATGCCATTATTGGAATTTGTTTATGTTGTGATCTGTGCGCACAACCCGCCTTTGTCACATGGGGTTTAAATATATGCAACTTCATGTGATTTTCTTTATTTGTGGTAAAGATTGTTTGTCTTTTCAGTGGGTACAACCTCACACACACCAAATCCCTCTGTGCTTATTTGAAAGAGTGTGGAGGACGCCTTCCGCAGTGCTTACCGTGACACTTGTTGAGGGGCTGCTTTCTGTCGCCATTGTTTGGCATTGCTGTCTTCAGCCATCTCTTGATCTCTTTGACTACTTCACAAAAATTGTAATATGCCTCGCTGGTTACAAATTTAAAGGTGAGGAGAGGAGCGGATGTGATTGGTGAGAATTGGACTTGGCTGTGTTAAACTTACTCCCCGCATTCTCCTCTCCCTCTTTCCTGCTTGTGCTGCGGGCAGGAGCTGAGTTGGGGGGGGGGGGGGGGGGTACTTGCGCCAGGCTGCACCGCTCACCGAAGTACCAAAGTCTGCTTGGACATGTCTCATTGGCACAGCGGACCTGACTTATGCTGCGCCATGCCGCCGGCGTGGCATGGAAATAGAGCATGTCACTGATGCAGCAACATGCCCTGAGATTGTTTGTAGGACAGTGACTCCTTTAATACAAAAGAGGTCATATCAGGTCACCACATTCACATATCAGAGGCATTGTTAGGAAAAAGGCTGCCCAGAGAGTACTTGGTAAAAGGACTGGGAACAACTTGATGTTTCTGATGAAATTACCTGTAAGCGCCTTTTAAGATTTTTTTCTTTTACACCAAAAAATAATCCCCTAATTCATTTAAGAGTGCACACAATAATGCATAAACAGACTAGGGTTGACTCAAGTGCCAAAGAAAACTTAAGACTGGCTGCCAAACCTAGAGGAGTTTGAGGACATCCCTACCAGTATTAGTGCTTGAAAATTAAAATGAATTACGTATGTATCTGCTTATATTTGTATTGAGTCTTGCTTGTTTGCCCATTGCATTCTCTCTCTCTCTTTCTCTCTGGCACTGATGGGTTGTGCCCTCACATCTTGGTTACAGCACATTTGAGGTGTTATTAAAGGTTCCACCAGGCATAAAACTTTATTTTTGGACAGTTTTGCATGCAACGGGACATTAGCATATCCTCACCTGATAATCACTGCTTCCCTATGTCAATTAAACCTTTTAATGGCAGCAGATGAAAGCCTAAAAGGCTGGAGGTGATGTGATCAGTAGCACTTAATGTGTCTTAGTGTTGAATATTAACTATTTATATTTAGAGACTGTCTAACACTGATATTTTTTCATTTATTTTTACATTAGTTTGTACTTGATAGGTCAGATATTTAAGGGTAATCTGCTCTGTGTGGCGCCATGTGCAGTAGGGTCTCCATGATGATGGACATAAATGATGTATGATAGTCATTTTTATTCGTGGTTGGCATGTTACCTAAAGTTGACTGAACATTTTAACAATAAGCAGCAGTAGGTGCTTTTTAAAGCTACTGACATAAGAACAGAAACTGCACTCACCAAACCAAACTCTGTGGTAACTTAAATCAACAACAAACCAGGAGGAAAGTCTTAATCACAGCCCTGCTCTTTTGTAACATCCATATTGGCATCCTTTTTGTTCACACTGGGGGAACATTACTGAAGTGGTCAAGGTGAAGGCTTGATGGCTGTCAGGTGAGGTTGATAGCGATCTCTGGTGATATGGTTATTTAAGTTTTCAGAATACATTGTGTAAAAACTACTTGAATAGGTATCCTGCTGTGTGCCCACTGTGAGGCCCCTTGAAAATTATGCTGACAGCTATGGATTTAGATGACTACTGGGGCTTTGCAGAAATCCTGTCCCAATAAAAATGTCCAATCTCTTTTCACCCCTTACATTAGCTGCTTTTTAAAATTGTAGAAGCAGAGCATGTTTCTGTTATTTTCATATACTTATTTAAAGATGGAATTACATTTAAGCTTGTTGAAAACTTTTCAAAATTGTATCTTGGATGTCCAATTTGAAGTTGATTGTAAGCCACAGTCAGAAAACAGTAGAGTTTCATATCAAGGACTAGTCAGATCCCTGTCATACAGACCTGTCATATAGTTTTTTTCAGAAGAAGTGATGTAAAATGAGTTGTATGTTAGAGTCAGGCATCCTTTAGGAGAGACTAATTAACAGCAAGTACATGACTTTATCGTTGGTTAGACAAGGACAGCTTATCAGTGTCCAGGTCTTTGACTGTCATTGGTTATTTCAAAATGTTGTCTCATGTCTGTAGGACACTTTTTGTTGTTGGTAGTTGTCATTGCGGGTACTCATTCAATGGTTTCATAAATGTGAGCAAATGTCAGTGTGGATTATAACACAAGAACTGTTTCAGGTGAAAATATCATCACCAAGCACAAAACAAGGAGATAGCTCTGTCCTGTTAGAGGGTTCAATGTGACGTCATGGGTAAAAACATCATAGAAACCCAACAGACACTCAGAGTGATAACAGGCCGTGAAAGCAGCACAGTAAAATGAGCCCCCCTGAAACAACATCAGAGAGAAAGATAGTCAGGCAGAGGTACAAGAACATGGAAACCACCCGCTTCTCTGCTTCAGTCCACTAAAGTTTCTGCCACCTGGTGAACTTTAAAGGTTGAAAGACAAAATGTTTTTTAAGTGCAGGGGCCTATGTAGCCACACTGTGTGTATACTTTTATTTTTTTATTTGTGTTAGCCTGAGTTTCTCTGCTGCAGCTTGTTGCTGTCTGCAAATTCACCCCTTTCTTTGGAAATTCAGGGTTCTCCACACTAACCTCAGACAGACCTCAGAAACTCTGGGTTTCTGAGGTGTTTCTGTAATCTGAACCAAACATATTAGCTAAATTTACTGGTTAAGTTGCTTGAAATAATAAAAAAAGCTCTCAAAACTTGTATCAACTGCTAGGTTTTGTCTAACTCTTGATAGATCTTTGTCTTCCTTGCTAGCAGTTCAGGTTTTGTTTGTTACTGAAATTATTTTGAAACAAGTTTATCTTGGCTTGTTACATTAATTGCTTTGGAGTGCATGTTATGGTTATGTTTCATGTATTTCATGAATAATGGCTGTATTTTGCATAACTACAATATTCACACCAAGATTCTGCATTTTCATACAATGTAAATCTAAGTACAGGCATGAAACCAGTTTCTGAAGCCCCATGGCATGCTCAAAATTCACACTGAGTACTTGGACATTGAAATAAAATGTTGAATGATGATTTTTGAGTTTTATATCAAGCTTATACTTTGTGACTGAGGATGTAACTTATCTTTCATTCACTACTGAGTTCAACATGCTGCTACTCTTGGCACTGCAAAAGCACAAATGTGTAAGTGGAATGCTCTGAGCTTGATTTATTATACTTCAGGCCTTGTGGGGCCAACATTCAACCTAAAATAAAACTAAGTTGTCAGTGTTCAGAAGGTCAGCTCTGTTCCTAATTCATGACTGTGTCATTCTTTTAGTCGTTCCATTCTTAGTCGTTGCACAGATGACCCACATTGTAAATCTTCTGGTTTTACTGTTATACCCTTAAGCTCTGAATCTTTTGAAGACCATTCATGCAAATGAAACTGTTGCAGACTGTCTGTTTCAGCTGCGTCAAATAGAAAATTTCATCCTGATTAAAAATGCTTTGAGGGGATATTTCCCAGTTTTAATCTTAAATGTGTGTTTGTAAAAGAGGTTGACTAACACATAAATGATCTACAAGTTTTCACAAAACTAACAGATGGCATTTACTCACACATCATGACCTAAATTCAAGACTAAATGATAAATTTCTCCTCCTCCCAGGAAACCCTGAGTGGTCCAGAGCAGTGAGCAGGAAGTGTTGACCTCTGACCCTGAATATGGGATCATCCACATTGGGAAAGGCAGCATCTCTTGATGTTCTCTTGAATGAATGCATTCATGCATTTGGTAAGTGACACATGCCAAGGACTCACACCCAGGCAGACCCAGACTAGGACCCAGCATGAATACTCTAAAGTTGTGATGCTGAATTGTTTCCACATTTTATAAATAAATGTCAAGTTTAAATGTTGAATGTTAACACTAAATATGAGCAAAGTTTCAGATCTTCTGACCAATGTGTGTTTGAGTAACTCAAAAATCACACTGCAGACAGCCCTAAACAGCTTGTTTAAAATGTTATGTAAAAATCAAGATAGGCTCAATTAGTCATATCACCACAGGTGCATCTCCTCTAAAAGAGCAAACAGAGACATCTGCTCTGCTGGTCATATTTAGTGTCCTAAACACACGGCTATATGCAATCATTTGTCACTGCTTATTCCACTGATGACAACTTGGTGAAATGACAACAGTGGAGGAGGCTTCCAGAGAGTGGCTAATCAGAAGACAGTGGACTTGTAGGGCTGCCTGTCCATTCCCCTCACAATTAGCACAGTGCGTTTGGTTAAGTGCACTTTTTGCCAAGTGAAAATGAACAATTGAATATAAATCATACCTACTAAGTGATCAAGTTTGTGGAGATTTTTTAATAGCAGATGGAACCTAGTTTTACTGCAAATATATACAAGTATTTTCCTGATTTTAGTCACAACCTTATTGTGAGTAATCAGGATAACACTACTTGCCAAAACCCATCCAGCTGTAGGTGCCTCTGCTCTGGTAGAAAGCCTCTTATTCTCTACCCTTCAGTGAATGAATGGAGGTGTTTGACACAATAAACTATACATTATTAATTTTTGTGGGCCTGCGAGCTGCAGAAGCATTAATTGAATTTGCAAACATACTATCATATTGTTGGATTTTATACTGTATAAATTTAAGACTAAGTTACATCTTTCAAGGATCTTTCTTACATTGAAATATCAGATGCTGTATTGGGACTTCTCATAGTAAAAGCAACATGATGCATTGTGGGAGTTTATTCGACACAGATTCAGTCAAACCGTAATTAGAGTGCAATTAAAATGCAAATCTAGCATGCTGTGTATCTTTGTGTCTGCTAATAGAGGTGATTCAGCCAAAATTTGAAATCAGGTTTTGAAAAACATCAGGCTGAGATAAAGGCGGCAAATCTCATGAAGTTCCCCCAGTGTACAGCAGTGCTGTACAGGTACATGTTAAAAGGAACAGGTGAACTCAACGGCTCAGTTTGGAACTCCTGAACGGGGACTTCGGCTCAGTTTACTTTACATAATATGGGAGGATTTATGTGTCCAGAGTTGCTTGGAGCAGCAAAGCTTGTATGGATTTACACCCGGCATGGCATGGCTAAAGCTATAAGCAATGCAGTTGTTGGTGATGCTGATAATTATCTTGTTTTTCATTGTTTCTTTTCTGTTAGATCTTTTATTTCAGCAGATTTGAAAATAATCTTTTACCTAGTGTCTTTTACCAAAACAGATATCCCCTTCATTACTGGGCAGAGAGGGTTTGTTCAGTTTTGAAATAAGCCCAAATATCTATTATTCAATAGTTAAATACGAGGTGCGGAGGGAGGATTCAGACTTTATAGATGAAGAGTAATCACCAAACTTTGTGCTTAATCTGAATGAATGAGTGAACTAATATGGCCTCATAAAACAAACATTTCTCTCCTCAGATGACAATGGACAGTTGCAAGCCAACCTGCTTCCTCGCAGCCTCCTGATGATGCATCGCTGGTATGTTACATCCTCGGAGCTGGCGGGAAAGTTGTTGATGATATATCCTTTCAGAGGGGAAAGCTTACAGGAACTATAAACACAATGCTTTACCAGTGTAGTACCGCTGGCTTACTGTTACTGTTATCCAGTAAGCTATTTCTCCCTCTATAGGAAATTAGCTATGGTTCTTTTAGTTCAGAAAACAATATATTTAAACCGGGGTGGTGGTGGTGGTGGTGGTGGTGGTGGGGGTGACATCTGTGGTGGAACAAAGAAGGACAAAGAGAGAGAGATTTCTCGAAAGTATCGAGCCAACTCCCTCTCCAAAGGCAGACCTCAAAAATAGCTTTATGTGTGTCACAGAACTTCTGGTAGGTGAAAAGTTTCGGAGAGAACTTTGTGGAAATGCTGCCAGAGCTGGTTAACTCAAATTATTCTTCTCCTATCTAACTTTTATCGTGAGCTAAATCACTTAATATAGCTTTATGTCCAGCTGCAATCTACAGTATACTATATTTAGTCTTGTGAGGGATTCCAGTTTTGCGCAGTTATGGTTCTAGCTGTTGTAGAATCTAACTGTTGCTATGAAGGAGAGGCTAATTTTGTCTGATAAATAAAAAAATTGACTTTATTTAATACCAAACTGATAACTATAATATGAATGTATAAAATGTAAAAATATATTTTAGCAGATTGGTATTACTACATTCATAATGGGTTGTACTTGATTTAAATCATACAGACTCACCATCAACATAAGAATAACTGGACAAAAGAAAATAACCTGTTAATAACCTGTTCGCCTAGCAAGTTTACTGTCACACAGTTTCATCCAAATATGCTACAAAAGTTCATGTTTTTGAATATGCTGGAAGTAGCTTATAGACAAGGGTGTTAAAGATGGGAGGAGTTTTACATTGAATATCCAGAGTATTTCCAGCTGAAATCTCTCCAACTTGCGCTTATTGTTGCTGTAAGTCTGAATTCAGGATTTGACACAATTTGAAGTCCTCTAAGTACATTTCAATGCTTTCAATTTTTTGTGCTACAAGCTGAAGCTCCAGCAGATTGAGTCTAATGGGGTGCTCAAATCAAGCACGAGTAAAATCATCTACCCACTTAACTTTAGCAAATCTAGACGCGTGAATGAGTAGTATTTACTCGCCTTATTCATGCATCAACGGTAATTTCACCGGTAATCCTTGCCCATTCAACTGGCAGGATCAAGTGATAGACAAAGGTTTGTTACAGTTTACCAGGTAATCCGACCTCCTCACTCACTTGCCTCCATGCAAGCTCCTTATTATTCTGGTTTCCGGTTAATTGAAAGAAAAGGTATCATATAATTCGGGGCACCCACACACCGACAAGATCAGTTTGTCCTCTATTTTAGATTCCAGTGAACAACGGTCCATTTTCATATGTACCTTCATGCTGATTAGTTATCGCTACGCAAATATCCGCTCAAGTTGAGACATTTTCAGCTCCCGCCCAATTCGCGCCATTCGTGTCACCAGAGTAGTAGGAGCGTCTAATCACGTCTTTACATTGACTTAACATGTAATTCATTCATGCCGATGATTGAGCTTGGTGTGGGGAGACCGTATGAGGAAAAAAAAAAAAAACTAGCCCAAGTAGCTGAGGGATTGTGGTCTGATAGTGTCAAATCAAGGCCTGTGTAGAGGCCTTGTTAAAGTGTAAATTACAGATTTTTATCTGCATTTCCCTGCAGGTATAGTCTCTCTATCAAAGCTTCACATTAAGAAAGGAGAAAAAGCTCTCACAGTGGTCTCCTCGACGAGTTATCAAGATGATTTTTAGTCATGTTGATTCTTCTAAAAAGGACAAGATTTATTTACACGGTTCATTAGTTTTTAAGCAGTGCATCTAAAGTGGACAAATACTCAACAAAAGGGCTCTGAATTGTCATATTTTACAGATACAAGATAAAGCATACAGCCATGCATAAATTGCTTGTTTAGCTGAAAGGCCGAGGCCTGTGAGGAGTAGAAAAAAAGAACCCAAAACTTACACAGCAGCCAAAGCCACTTAAAATGAAGAGGGAGGAAAGAAATGAGACTTGATGAATCACTGAGGTTTGGGTTGAAATCATATTAACAAGTGCGGGTTATGAAAGGATTTTGGTTTTCCTTTGAAACACCAAATGAATAGAGGCTTTAAAACAGAAGGTGACTTTATCACCCAACAGTCATCTGACTGTCTTTGTCTGGTTGTTTGTTTATTGGAGTATAGTCTTGCATTTGTGTAGGACAGAGATGACAAGAAGAGGAAAGTAAAAAATAGGCCGAGTGTAGATAAAAGGGGGTCTGTCAATGACTAAGTCAAAGTTGTAAGGATCTCAAACACGTCCAGTGTTCTCCCAAATCTGTGGCAGTGTTTACAGAGAGTTTGTGATCAGGCTAAAAAAATCTATCAGCTGTTAAGATTATATTTTAACACATTTAAGGTTGATATATGGAGACAAGGTAATGGGTAACTTTGTTTTTCAATATTCTCTGCACTTATAAGTGTCTTTCACAGAGTCATCATCAGAAATGTTGTCACTTTTTCTAACAGATGGTACTATAACTATGACCAAAATGTCAATGTGGATGAGTGTTTTTTTCTGACATTTTAAAGGCTAGTATCTTAACTAAGTATGTTTGTTGAAAAGTAATGTAGGCTTAATTAAGCATTTTGCTTCTGCCTGTGCTGTCTCTGCCACCACTTGGCATACGACTGTTGCTGTTTAAGTGTCTCTACTGTGAAATATGTCATTGTATGGTGATAAAATATAAGAATAGCATATCAGTTGAGGCTGAGATTACCATCAAATTGGTGAGATTGGAGGCAGATGGGACATACTACGTTTAAGTTAGTAGTAACATGTACTTCCACAAGGTGGCACATTGATTATAGTTAAAAAATCTGCATGGAAAGTGTTCAGGGATGAATAGCAATCATGCGTATGAAATTTTAAACAGATTGAACACAGTATGTAGGAGTTAAGCTAACTTCCTGTTTCATGACAAGTTTGATATACCTTTAACAACGACTCACAGAATGAACAATAATGCTTCTTAAAGGTGGCCATGATGGGGGGGGGGGGGGGGTCATGTCAGTTCAACCAATAATAATGTCTGTGAATTCAGTAAAGGTCATGAGGAAGGTCCATCAATCCCAAGTTGTACAAAGACCGAAGACTAAACAAGTATCAAACAAAGCAGCTCACTGTGGTGGAATACAGTTTAAGTCCCACTTCGATTGTTTTTTTTTTTTTTTTTTTTTTTACAACTTAAAGCGTTTTCAGTGGTCTTTAAATTGTGATTATGAAGTTTTATAGCCAAAATTGCGTTACCTATGTCATTTTCAAGGACTTTTCTTCTGCAGAGCTCCAGTGGCTCATTAGCAATTTGCCTCTGAGTTGTGGGTGGAGATAGCGCTGCTCTGCACACTCCTCTTCATGCTAGCTTATAGCCTAACATTTCCGGTGTAGTAAAAGTAGCAGGTTACATAGAAACTATTCAGCTCTCGGACACTAATGTCTTTGGGGACATGATGAACGTTAATATCATTATTAGCTTTCTTACAAGCATTGCATCCGCTAACGCACACACTTGTTCCACGATCATCTCTACTCTACATCTCTACTTCTCTGAGTCTGGCCTGCATAGTGGGGCTGCGGGGGCTGAGCTTCGATTTGTGACGTAGGAAATCTCACTGTGTCTGAACCTGCTGTTTGGGTTTGTCAGAGATTCACAGCGATTTGAGTACAGAAATACTGAGAAATGCAATTTCACATTTATTTTTCTCGTGATATGTCCTGTCACATCAGGAAAATGCCATATGAACATGTAGACAACAAGACAAACATGGTTTTCATCTGAGTGGGTCTTTAATGCAAGCTTTACCGTTTGTGATCTTGATGGTGTCCTGCCATGAGTTCCTCTGAAGAGCTTGCCATGTTTGTTTGGGTCCGGATGTTACCCTCCTCCACACCCACACCCTTTCACAGCTTCTACAGTACACTGACTAACGTTAGGCTGCACATCTCAAGCCAAAGTTCAACCAGGTGTTCAGTGTCAAGTCAGATAAGCAACAGCTCCTTATACTAGCAATAATTAGAACTGAAGAAGCTTCTTGGATAGAGCCGAAACGTCTTCCCAACTCTACACAGTCCAGTTGCCTGATTTTGGAGTCTTCAAGAAAACAGCTTCCTTGTGAGTACCCCATAGAGAGAAAGGACCCATCCCTGCCCATCCACTTACAGTATTTTAAGGTTGTAAGGACAACTAATGAGGTGAGTTTCAGATTTGTCTGCCACAAGAGTGAACAAAATAATCCTTGTCTAATTCTGCTCTATTTGTTGTGCATTTAAGTGTTTTATTCTTAAAAATCTTGGAAAACTCCTTAACTTACCTCCACGTACCGTGACTGCAATGATGACAGTTCTCAGGGAACAAGGCTTAAGATTTGTTACTTCATGAGGTAAGTTGCTTTATGTACATTATCCAAGTACCAAGACTGCCAAGAAGCAAAGACTACTCTAATATCACTTCTTGAAGTTGTTTGTAACCTTAATAAAAGCTGGTGACTAAGTCTTTGTTTTAACTACCCCAGATTCCAACACACTATCAGAGTCACAGAAAGTTTCTGCACCAAATCCCCACAATACAGGGACATGAGTCATAAGGCCCAATGGCATATGGTTTACAATGATCATTGTTTGGTTCAGCGGAAATTTCTCATACTGGCACAGGTTCATCTTGTCCCCATCTTTTTAGGTACTGGATAGTTACATTCCCCGCAGAGTTCAACCTGGACTTGGGTCTGATCCGGATCACAGAGGAGTTCAGGGATGTGGCGGCTAAGCTTGGCTTTGAAGAGCATTTCAAATTCCTTGATATCTCCACCATGTAAGACTCAAAACCTCACAATGGCACACTGTTAAGACCTCAATGTGCCACTAGTTTAGCTGTTAACTTGAAGTACAAATAATGCTTGGAGGTCAACTAAAATCCAAAACCTAAACCACATACCCTCAAGTATAAATGGTGAGCTGTAGGTACCTAAGTTCAGCTGCTTTGGTACTTGCAACAAAATACCTTTGTGACTTTGATTGTGTGAACTCCGCATATATTCCCCTCCTGTAGTCCATCATATGACTGGATGCGAAAACTGACCCAAAGAAAGAAGCCAGCTAAGAAAGGAAAGGCCTCTCTGCTGTTTGACCACCTGGAGCCCATGGAGCTGGCTGAGCACCTCACCTTCCTGGAGTTCAAGTCCATCCGGAGGATATCGGTATGCCCACGGTCTACTGGTTGAGATTTCACCATGGTCTACTAGTTGAGATTTCACAATCACTGAAACATTATAGATACAACTGAATGGCAGGATCTGGACATGGACTGTAAACGGGCCCCTGTAAAAACTGACCTACTTGCCCGAAATCCTTAACTATGCTTGGCTGTGTGTCATTTCAGAGGTGGGACTACTTTAGACTATTACTTTGTATGTAAAGAATTTTCACTAATTCACTTAAATAACTGATTAAATTGGGGGTTATGTGGTGCTGATGGCATTGCTGTTTGAGTACCCCACAGTCCTCATCAATGGGTTATTGGTTTGACTCCCAGCTGCACCCCATTTGCTGCATATCTTTCCCTCATCTTTCTTCTCACATTTCTTGCTTCTCCTTAAGCTTTCTTAACTAATACAGCAAAAATGGCCCAACATATAACTTTGAAACTGCTGGTTGTTTGACAGGAACATGATTTGGTAAAACCCAAACAAAGACTGCAGCTTGTTTTCATCATTTTTTGACCTGAAATCAGTGATCTGAACATTTAAATATTTTTCATATATCAAATATCAGTTTAAAACATTGCACTACCCCTTCATTGTGTTTTATAGATATTTCTTTGTATTCTGTTGTTTCCATAACTTGAAGTGTATAGATACTTGCAAAAATTTGGATAAACGCAAGGCTGTCATTTCAATAGATTATTTAGCACAGTCTTCTGCCTAAAGGTTGACTTCAGAAGAAATAATTCACATCCTTGGGATTTAACAGAAACTAAGCCCTGGCTATCCACTCCAAAGACTATGTCCAATGTACACAGGGTGCATGAGTTTCACCAGTTGGAAAAACTGGTGCCTCATGATCAACATTGAAACACACTTGCAGAACAGGTGGAAAATGAGCAGCACTGATAAAAGTGTTGGCGGGGTCTGGGAAACTGAACATCTGCTGCAGAGTATCACTGTGGAGCTATCTGGCTTCCAAGTGAAATGTCCTGTTTTAACACCACAGGTGGTGTCTCAGTGACAACAACAGCAAGCAGTTCAAAGTCTGTAGTCATTCTGCGTTTGAATCTTTGATGAAACTGAGTGTTTGTCTTTGACCTTTTTAGTACGCTGCTACTTCTTTTCTCACAAGTACTAGCAGATCTTGTTCATGGTCAGGAACTGACTGGAAAAATCCCAGAACAAAGGAATAGAAATCACTTTCTAAAATCCAATCTGACATGTTCTTAATTTCTCTTGGACCACTATCTGGACACATTTATAATTCCTCTCAGGGCAAGAATGTCATGGACACTTTGAGATATCTCATTGTTAAAGCCAAGGGCCAACTGGTGTTTAAAGCACATCAATTATTTTCATATGAGCAATAAAACAAATCCGCCTCAGGAGTATTGATGACTGAATACAAGGAAAATAAGTTTTTTCCAAAGTAGTGTTGACAGGTTCAGTTATTGCAACATGCTTTATGGTCATGTGTGCAGGTCCAGTTCTCTATTCCAAACCAGGCTAAAAGTGACCTGCAGTTTGTGAACCTGGACAGAAAATAATGAGGATTTCTAACTCCAAATCTTTCTTATCCAGATAAAATCCTCTATGAACTGATTTTTTTATTTTTATTCCACCAGTTCACTGATTACCAGAGCTACGTGATCCACGGCTGCCTGGTGGATATCCCGGCTCTGGAGCGCTCTATCGCTCTATTCAACGGGGTGTCGCAGTGGGTCCAGCTCATGGTGCTGAGCAAGCTAACTCCTCAGACCCGGGCAGATGTTATCACAAAGTTCATCCATGTGGCTCAGGTAAGACAAAAAGGGGACTGCATCTCAAGTGTTTTGTGGGAGTCTTTCATCCACAAAACAAAGATTCCACACGGCTGTTTGTTTCTTTATCCAGTGGGTGTAAATATCGATATACTCCACTGTCAGCAGATGATTTAGGGAGATCCAGAGCTCATACTTTGACAAACTTTACCATGAATGTTGATCTGATTCACATCAAATTCTGTCAGTGTTAAAACTTGATTGATATCAAAAAGCGCCAACCTGAGTAAACACTATAAACATGCCAGAATTCAAAATAACATTTCCAACCTCTGGCAAGAGACAGAATAACATGCTAAATAGTTTTGGTGATTGTTAAATAAAGGATCTTTATATGCTCTTTAAGCAGAACTCCCCCTGTGTTTGAACATGCAAATACATCTACTTTTAGTCCTATGATTGGAATGGGGATGCTATGTGGAGACCAAATGCCAGACACAAACATACATGGTGAGCTCTGCAGAAGTAACCATGCCAGGACACCATAGGCCTACATATAATCAAGAATCTGACCTTTAACAATGGGAGGAAACTGTGCTGCAGACATGGTCAGGACTGAATGCTCCAAGTAGTTAATAAAAACATAGTGGTATTTATTCTTTCTTGACTTTTTGTGTAAGGTAAGATAAAAAAAGATAAACCAAAATTCATCCCAGGTTGGAGAAATTTGCAGTGTGACGGCAGCAAAGAATCAGAACAGCAAACATAGAAGAATAGTCATACTCATCATGCACACGGTGCACAGATAATTATAACAAATATACCTAGACCTATACAAAATATGTTATATACAGAAAAGAGAAAAAATGTAAGCAACAACAACAAAAACTAAAACACTGTTCTACACAGTGAACAACAAATAATTGAACATGTTATGATTGCACATATTTGATTTCATACACCTGAGAAAAGTGTAGGTATTTGCAGTTGTAATGAATATCTAGTCGGTCAATATTGCACATAGAGGTAGCATTTTCTTATTAGTTGTACTGAAAAACCTGGACTCGTGGGTCCAGCCTGTTAAACAGTCTGACTGCAGCAAGGAAGGAAGGACTTGCTGTATCTCTCTGTCACACACCTCGGGTGTAGAAACCTGTCACTGAAGGAGCTGTCCAGTGCGGTTACAGTGCTCTGCAGGGGGTTGGAAATATTGTCTATGAAAGCTGACAGCTCAGCCATCATACCATTGTCCCCCACCACCTCCATGAGGTCAAGAGGGCAGCCCAGGACAGAGCTAGCCGTCCTCACCAGTTTGTTCAGTCTGTTCCTGTCTGCAGTCGTGATACTGCTGCTCCAGCAGAACACACCAAAGAAGATGGCTGAGGCCACCACAGAGTCCTGAAAGGTAATCAGGAGTGCTCCCTGCCACCAAAGGCCCTCAGTTCCCTCAGTAGGGAGAGTTTACTTAAAGGTGGGGTAGGCAGGATCTGAGGAAGTGCCAGTTTTTGGGAGAAGTCTTGAATGTAAACACTACCCCTCCTAACCAGTTTTCCCCTCAGCTCCTCCTCTCTCCTCCCTCTCTGCTCCAGCAAACCCCGCCCACAAACAGACGCTCCTGTTCACTCGTATCGTTTTGATTAAATTCAGATATAATGCAGATAAATACTTCAGATATGGCTCTCTGTACAGGACAGAATTAATTTTAAGCTTTTAATATTTGTTTTTAAAAGCCTGAACAATCTTGCTCCACCTTACATTTCTGAGATGCTCCAGCCTTATTGCTCACCCCGACCCCTAAGATCAGCCGATCAGCTGCTACTGACGGTCCCAAATACAAGGCTATTTTAAATGTGCTAAAGAAATAAAGTTGATTGATTGATTGATTGAGATAATACAAATGGGGCCCAGTCAACATGAAAGTAAAAAACATTGATGCTACTGTAAATGCCAACAGAATACCAGCAAACACGTTTGCAGGACTTCTACAACTAGGATAAAGTGACATACTCCAGGACCCGAGATAAACAGTTTAGCAGCGCTACAACACGCAGCAGGTCCCGTTTGACAACAAACACGTCTGTTACAGACACTTGGCTTACTTTGTTAATGCGGTTTACCTGTCCAGCAGAAAGGTTACAGGGTCTGTGAGATCCCAAAGTGTCCCCCATCGTTTATGCTTCATTGATATTGACCCGGCTTTTCAGCTCTTTTCCGGTCTACCTCTGTTTTAAGCGCCTGTTATTCTGCCAGTCTCTTGTATTTACTTTGTTTTATTGCTTGTGTTTTCCGCCCTTCTGGTTGGTTTCTACAGTCCAATGTTGTAGCACGCTAACTTTGTTTGGACTCGTGCACGTAATTGGAGGACAGGGAGCATGCCTCACAACATGAGGGAGCAGCATCTGACTCACAACTATCAGCACTAAAGAGCAGCGGCCTCACAACCAATCAGGTTGGGGGAGGCGGAGAATGGCTTTGTATACAGCCAGAAAGAGCAGGCGACTCAAAAATTTTAAAATGTTGACTACACAGACATAACACAGCGATATTGTTATATTACCAAATGTCATCAATAACTAACTAATAGCTATTGACTGATATTAAAAGCTTTTTTGTATATACACCACAAAACAAAGATGTGTCTTTAACGGAATCCTGCCTACCCCACATTTAAACCTTTCCTGTAGAGTAAGTTAGTGTTGTCAGTCCAGTCCAGTTTTATTGTTCAGGTGAACACCCAGGTACCTGTGAGAGTCCACAATCCCAATGTCCCTCCCTTGAATGTTCACCAGTGTGGGAAGGGTAGGTCTGCGCCTGCAGTGTGCAACTTTATGTGATTATTCATCATTATTGGATAGGCCTGAATGGTGGTAATGCACAACAACAGACAAACTAGCTCCTGTTGCTGCCTGGTTTTAAGTCTAAAGTCAAGTCCAGGATAGGGCTAACCCAGAGATGCCATAAGACAAGGACACCGTCACTATTATCTTCTCACACTCCAAGCTTTTACCATGCACAGGTCAAAACCTCCAGACCATGAACCCTGTCAAGCTTTCCATCAAGCAGACTCTCAAAAACAGGCAGAACAGCCTCATACATACACACAAGCTCACACACACCTAAGGCATATTTCTTTTTACAATTCTCCTAAATCACTTTTGGTGCCACCGATTATAGTGCCAACAGATATTAAATAAGCCCAAACAGTATCCATTATGCACACAGTACAAAATTATAGCCGTGTGATACTGTAGCAAAATGGATAAACAACTTAGTCCACAGTTCATCATTTGGTCCTGTTTTATATACTTAATTCAGTTGTCTTACAATCATATTTAATCCTTTTTTGTTCTGCTGTTCAGAGGGATTGTTTGAGATATGGATGTAACATAAATACTTGTATCAGCATTACTCATACTCAGTAAAAAACCTTATGTTGCCTTAGTCTGGCTGAAACTGGACTGGAAAAAAAAAAACTGCCATGTAAACACTCTGACCATAACCTGTGAGTATATTTTTTAGGGACACAATAGAAGGACAGAAGGTAAAAGTACCGGCTTGAGTTTAGTGTGGTAAAGTAGAAAGGCTGAAATCATGTTAATGGCAACACACCAGCCTGCTCATAAAATGGTGAGAGCAGATGCCCTGACTGGTTTTATTCATCCCAAAACACATCTCTGAAGAACCAAGGGACTTAATCCATTTCTTTTGCTCTGCAGCTCTTGCAGTGCAGAGTGGTGCACAGCTTAACACATCCAAATTCACTCTGTCACCAAGACTGTTGTGGGTGGATGGCACAGGGCCTCTTGATTTCAGCAGAGCAGCTTGAGCGTTTGTCTCCAACCTTTTTGACATACTTTATTGACTCTGCAAAACAGAAACAGCTAGAGTGAGAGATGGGGGGCATGGGCTGTGTGATCAGAGACAACATCTCGGTACTACTTAGTAGGTACTAACCCTCCATTATGACCTCCCATAAAAACTGTTGTTCAGGACTGCACGCAACATGCTTACTTGTGCGTCCTACCTACTCGGCTACCGTAATAACCGTTGCTCTAGTCGACATGCAAGATTTTTGTTTTCATTCATGAATCGCTTAAATCAGGGACATTTTCAAGGAACAGCTTTAGCCGGGGACAGGTCATCCTATAAGGGGACTTACCCCCAAAATCAGGGACGTCTGGTCACCTTATCATTTTCACAAGGTTGTAAAGGTGGAGGATGACAAAAGTCTGCTTTTCACATAATGGAACTTACATACCTGCCAGTCTTTCCTGATAAAAGTAGTATCATGAATATAAATGTACAGAGGGATCCTGCATAGGTTTCCACTCAATATCGATAAGTTTGCAGTTCTATCATATATCAGCAAACCACAAACCAGTTCATTTGTGTCCCATCTGAGGTCAAAAAGAGAACCTGGATGAGCCTCTTTTACAGACAGGAAACATTTTCATAGGGTGACCATATTCTGGATCCCCAAAAAGAGGACACTACTATGCGGGGGCAGAGTTGCGCGCAAAATTTTGAGGGTTTTTCGGGTCGGGTCGAGTTTTTTCTATGTGCATCTAACTCAGTTAGTCCATGCTACACAAACTCAAAATTTCCATACAAAACCCTGGACATTTGAAGGATTTTATAAACTCCCCTGAACAAGGCCGGACAGCCCTAAAAAACAGGACGTATGGTCAAAATGAAAATCTTCTCCTTAGCAAAGTGTGATCTCTTGCTCGAAATCTCCAGACATCAAACTAACAGGCTATTTGGAAAAAAAAAAGAATATTTTCAACAGTTATAAAATTTCTCTCCTCAAGCAAGAAAAACTGGGCCAAAGTGATTGAAAATGTGATCCAGACAGCACATCATCAACGACCACTCTCTTACATTTAGTCATATGTGCAATCAACACAGTCTTTCTCTTCTCATAGTCAGCCACTTGTTTCTTTTAATGAATGTCATCTCACACAGCAGTATAGACTTTTTATTCAAAGTAGCTCTTGTCACATTAACATTCAAACCTTTTAATCTCATTTAATGGTAGTTTATATAATCAGTAACAGTCAGGTTTTCGTTTAATGTTACCATACGTTTATTTCAATCAGTAGAGACATTTAAAGATTTAAAAATTTTATTGGACAGTTATTAAAATGTTTCTTGACAGAAACTCCCCCGAAAGAAGGGGCTCGGGCACAGCCAAAAGTGTTCCCCAAAAGTGCTTACTTACTGGGACAATGATGAAATGCCATATGAACGAACACGGATGGTTACCTGCTTATTAATAGGTGGGTTAGATTAAAATTCACCCACACCACACTACCAGGTACAACCGTAAAATTACACAAATAGTAAAAAAAAGAACATGAAGAACTTGAACCCAATTAAAATAAAAACAGTACAATTAAACAACAACATAAAGCAAACACAGTATCAATCAACTAAACGATCAAGCTGTTTGTATATATAACACTTTCATGTGAGTTTGATGTGGCTTTTAAGGCTGTGATGCCTTGCTCTGAAAATATGATGTGTGGCCCAGTAGCTTGAGGCTGTGATGTTTTTACTCTGAACAGGATGTGAAGCGAGACATTGTAAGCATTGAGAGGCCCGCTTGTGATGGTATGAAGGCTAGAGAGTATGCCAAGAAATGAAAGGTATAGATTGCTTATATTGAATTTAATAAAGGCAGCTCGTTCCACTACTTGGGTGAAGGGTAACCAGGTTTAATGCTTAACTTCTTCAGACTCTTAGAGATGAGGCAGTGATTTCTCACATCAGAATAGGACATTCTGGATGATATAAAAACTACATAAAACAGAAAAACATAAATGGAAAATGTGATAATTGTAATGAATCTGAATCAGTGCAACATGTTTGATTTGAATGCAGAAGGTACAAAGAGGAAAGGAAAGGACTGAAAGCTGCGGCAGCAAAGAAAGCTAAAATAACATTAAATATCTGAAGCCTTATTGTTATTTGTTTTAAAAATCTTATCATGGTCTCAAAAGAAACAGGACTGCTTCACAGGGTCGAGGTTTATCATTTATTTTCAGTTTTTACTTTAATTTTTCTGTTTATCTACTGTTCACACTTGAGACCAGTAAGTGGTGGTAATGCACCTTCAAGATGGCTGCCAATGTTACAATGTCATTTAGCAGATTCTTTCATCAAAAAAGTTCTACATTCGTAAACAACACAAGCAAAGATCAAGCGAGAGGAAACAAGATCAGTGGCGATTGCTCTAAGACTGCAAGGGAAGCTCAGCTTCCCTTAAAATGTCACCCCCCCAAAAAAAGAAAAAGTGGTGAAATACGTACTGCTGTGTGTACATTTCATTAACTAAATACGCGCTAGAAAGCCTTCATCTTTTGTTCAGAATCAGCTTCTTATCACACTGTGATAAGAACTTCGTTCTCGTTCATCCTCACAGCGCCTCAGCGCTTTACACAGCTGGACGCTCGGCTTCTGCTGACTTCAATGTGGAAGCTCAAAAGTGGGTTGTTCCAGCAGCGAAACTAGATGCTCATTGGATAAATGCTGGGCTTTTTCCCGCCCATCGGACGCTCAGCGTCTCTGGAGTTCTATGACGAGAGGGCGGTCCCAACTTTCTCACGGACGCTGAGCTTCTGCATCCATGATTGGATGAGCTGTCTGAGGCGAAACCTTTTTTTTGATTGACAGCTAAACAAGCAAATCAGCGATCTTGAAGAATAAAACATCTACCAGAGCATTTTCCAAGTTATTCATTCTTTTGTTCTTAACTGCTCCGGAGACTTTACCGATCCTCAGCGACTTTTGTCTTCGTTAAAAACGACTGCCGTTGTGTTTGGCGACTCTGTTCTGTTACATACAAATAAACAAACACAATTATGATGTAGGCCAGAAAAATGAGCTTCCCCTCCTTGAAAGACCAGCAGCCGCCACTGAACAAGATCAATAAGAACAAGTACTTCAAGTCCAATTGGACATACTGTAGGTACTGCCATGCAGTTTGAAAGGCATGCACAACACAGATTTATTTTTTTTTTTTGCCAACTTCCATTTAAAACAACAACAACAAAACAACAACAACAAGAGTGACAAAAGCAGGAAAAGTGAATAGGCATGGGAGAGGAAAAGACACTTAGGCAGTTGTGAAGGCAATTACAGTCTTCCTGACTGAACGAACTCTGGGGCTGCATTTCATGTGTCCAATGTAGTCAATAATACATCTATGAATTACTACTAGTGAGTGCACTTTAGTTTGGTGTCCATCTTAGAGCCTGTGGCATGAATATTTATGAGAGGTTTGGAGATGTGTGCCATCCTCAGAGGAGCCTCAGTTTCCTCCATTATTCCTCAATCAATAGAAAGCGGAAATTTAAGTCCTAAAGACACTCAGTGATGGCCTGTCTGCAGTGAAACTAAAGCATAAAACATTAAACAGACTATAGGCATGCATTTGTATGCAAAAGTTTGTGCACATTGAGAGTTTAAAAGTGTCAGATTCTTTTTACAAGCTCAGATCTTTACCAGCTTGTTAAGCCAGAGGCATATGCCAACAATTGTCTTAGAGGAGTGCCAGCTTACAAGCGTTACAAGTTTGTAATTTCCACAGTGCCATATATGAATAAGAGATGGTGGGTGAAAGACACTTCAGAGGTTAAGACGAGATCTGGAAGACCAAGAAAACTCTCAGAGAGAGAGCTTATAGACTGGTCAGAAAGGAAAACAAAAACAAACATTTGACTGCAAAAGACCTAAAGCAAGATTGAGCAGACTAAGGAGTGGTGGGAAACCCCTATCACTATGCAGTGATACTTGCACAGGCAAGACCCTCATGGCAGAGTCTGCAGAGGGAAACCTTACCTGCGTCCTCCTCATCATAAAACATGAAAAATATGCAACAGAATATCTACACAAGCCTGATGAGTTCAGAAACAAGTGCTGTGGACTGATGAAGTGAAAATAGAACTCTTAGGCCACAATTAGCAAAGGTATGTTTGTAGAAGAAAAGGAAAAGCATTTCATGAAAGACACACCTATTGAAGTGTCAAATATGGGGATGGAGCAATCATGACTTGCACTTGTGTTGCAGCTAGTGGGATAAGTGGGTTAAGGGAAGAATGTTTTCCACTATATACCAATAAAATCTGGAGGGAAATGTCACAGCATATTTAAAAAAGCTGAGGCTGATAAAAGGATGGCTCCTTCAACAGGATACTGATCCTAAATACACCTCAAAATCCACCCTGGACTACCCGAGGGAACACAAGCTAAAGGTTTTGTATTGGCCCTCACAGTCTCCAGACTTGAATGCCATTACGAATCTGTGAATCTGTGAGTAGATCTTAGAAGAGCTGTGCATGCAAGACGACCGAAGAATATCGCTGAACTGGAAACCTTTTGCAAGGAAGATTGGGGTAAAATCCCAAAGAGCAGAATCCTGATATTTGTAGTTGGCTATAAAAAGCATTTGCAAGCCAAAGGGGGTCTTACTAAGTACTAAAAGAAGTGATGTATCATGCACAAAAGATGCAGCTCTGAGTGCTAATGGTTTGTTGTGAATCAGAGGAGCTGGGTCTCACTCGAAATTAGCCCGTTTTTTTCAGCTTAGCCCCAGGCCTACTCACAGCAGAACTTTGTTTTGATTGGCCAGCATAGCGGCCATGCGATATAAGAGTACACCATTATGTGAAAACAGAGAGTTGAAAGATACTTAGTGAGAGAAGAAATCGGATCAGCCAATCCAAGCTGAGGCATATGATTTGCACCAAGGACATTAATACTGTTATATGAGTTTGGTTCTCGTTCTGTGGATTTATTTGCAGTATTTTTTTTTTTTTTTAATAAGAAAGTTTGATTAAAATGTTAACCAGAAGTAAGAATGGTTTTACAACAGCGTCAATGCTTTGGGTTGGCTGTGTGTGGTTGGGATTGGTTGTATGTGATTGAGTTGGTTAGGTGTAGTTTGGTTTGGTTTGGTTTAGTTGTGTGGGATTGGGTTATTGGTTCTTTAGTTGTTATTCTGTGGGTGTTGTTGGTTTTTTGAGGGTTTGAGTGTTCATGTAGGGTTGTCTGGTTGTGTTCAATTGTTTGGTTATGTTGGACAGGGTTGGTTAGATTGATTGGCTGGGGTTGGTTGTGTTGAATTGGGTTGTTTGAAGGGTGTTGGTTGTGTTGGATTGTTTGGTTGGGGTTAGTTGTGTGGGATTGGGTTGGTTTGTTTTGGGTTGCCGTGGATTGGTTGGTTGGATGGGTAGGGTTGTGTTGGTTGGATGGTTTGGTTACAGGTAGTAGTGTTGGACTTGATTGTAATGGGGTTGGTTGGGTTTGGTTTGGTTTGGTTGTGTGTTAGTCGGGTTGTTGGTGCTATAGTGGTTGTTTCATGAGTGTTTTTAGATGTTTGGTGGTTTGAATGCCCATGTTAGGTTATTTGGTAGAGGCTAATAGGTTGATTGTTTGGGAATAGGTTGTTGATTCTTTGGTTGTTGTTTTGTGAGTGTTTTTGGTTGTTTGGTGGTTTGATTGCTGGTGTTAGGTCGTTTGATATGGCTGATAGGTCCGTTGATCAGCATAGTGACAGGCCTTTAAAAGATCGGATGTTTACTCTTGCACAGTGAAGTGCACTTTCTACTGTTAACGCATTCATTGTCTGAAACTGTGTTGAAGTATGAGTAGGCGGCCTGTTGGACTGAAAAGAGTTTTCCAATTTTACTTTCTTTTAATTTCTGCATTTATAGATTTTGCAGATCTAGCCAGCAAAAGAGAAGCTGGACTTGCTTTATACAGCTTGGACCATGTGCATTTAAGTATGGCCACAAACCTATACCAAAGTACCTTATAGTTAACCTTATTTGTTTTCTTGATTTCTATTTTTGAATTCTATATGTTATAAATTTAGTCTGTATTTAAACTTTTACCACATAAACAACTTTTGTTTTTCATTAACCTTATCTCAACATTTTGCAGTAGGAAAGAGAGCATGGGGCCTTGGATATGTTTGAAAAGGTAAACAGGAAACAGTTCTTATTTTCTGTCCACAGAAACTTCTACAACTGCAGAACTTCAACACTCTGATGGCAGTGGTGGGAGGACTGAGCCACAGCTCCATCTGTCGACTGAAAGAGACTCATTCTTTTTTGACTCCAGAAGTTGTGAAGGTAAAAAAAAACCTGAAGAAGTATGCATGTACACCGTGTCCCAAAAGTTCATGCACCCCAATGGGCCAACATTTTGTCTTCCTTTCTCCAAAATGGGTTGCACCTGGTCAGCAAGGTGTTGTGAGGTTGTTTGATTAGTTCATCTGTTTCTGATAGGCCTATAAAATTCTTGGTTGGCCATGGAGCATGTCACTGAGAGAACCTCTCTGGTAGTGCTGTCAAGATGGCCAAACAAAGATCTGGAAAGGCTGCTGTTTCAGAGCCTCAGGTCTGTGCCCAAGCCATTGCCTAGTGCACTGCATGGAAAACTTACAGGGAGGTAGCTCAGGACCTTGGCAGAAGCATATGATGGGTGAAAAAGTGGTGGCAGAAACACCAGAGTTGTAACTTCCCTGAAGACAAGCCCTGTGCAGGTCACCCCTCGGTCCTGAGTTTGAGGGCCACAGACCTCATCTGCAATGCAAAGGGAGAGTCACCGATCCTGCCCCAGACTCAGAACGAACACTGAAGAATCTTGGCAAACAGTCTCTATGAGTACCATCCATGGTTTTCTGACTAATAAACTGGGTCTGAGAGTAAACAGAAGACAGCAGATTCCTCACCTTACCAAACTGCAAAAGGAGAAGCAGCTGGATTTTGCTAAAAAGGGTGTTTCAATGACCCCAAGGGACTGGGAAAAACTTGGTTCTCTCTGGTAAGTGCCCAATCTACTTATTTCTAACTCCCAAAAGCCAAAACAACCGTATCTACTCTGACAATTGAATAAAAGTGTCACCTTCTGAACAAGTCCGGTTCAACACCCATTGCATGGTCTGGGGGCAATGTCATTTTCAGGTCTGTCTGAGTAGCATGTTGTACCCCAGGGCACCACCATCCGTGCTGAGTATTTTGTCAAGAACCATCTCCAGCCAGTGCTACTTTCCATACTCACCAGAAAGAAGAAATCAGGCCCCGTCACAGCAAGGAAGATGTTCAACAGGTGTGCGGAAATGGTGCCCCCACACATACTGCTTATACAACTCAGCAGTGATGTTCTGAGCAGCATCCTGGCTTTCTGCATAAAGTGAACTGACTATCCAACTCTCCGGACCTAAACCAGTTTGAGAACTGCTGAGGTTTCCTGAAAAGTCGAGTCTTCTGCAGTCCAACCCCTGCCACCATGAAGAATTTGAGGGGCAGTGATTAAGATGTTGCAGATGTTGGGGGGGTTGGGGGTCACACTGGCGCTTGAATAAACACATTCTGTTGAACATTCACAATCTGAGTTAACTTTTTCTGTAGTGCATAAACCTTTGGGACACGGTGTACTACCATAGCAAACAAAGTTATCTAAGAGAAGAGCCAGGCAATCTGGTTATAACTTTTTTACTTTTACTTTCTTGGTTAAATTACAAACCTTTAACTCGGAATAGAAATGCATGCTGGTTGAAATCAGGTGCATCAATTAGGACATCATTCATTTTGAGTGGGTTGTTATTGCCGAGCAGGATCTCTGCAAAAAAGCTGAGTGGTCTACCTCACTTTGCCTGACGTGTATTACCCAGACAGTCCCTTAAATCCCATGGCGAGTGGCATCTCCATGGCGGTGGTATCTTATTATCAGCCTGCTTGTGGGTCCAATGGCCCTCATTTATCAATCTTGCGCAGATCTGAGCGCAGGATTCATCCTACGATAGGACATATGTGAGATTTATGAAAGGATTCGTATCTGGCAAATCCCAGCGTACATATGATCGGGTCTTGATAAATGCAGCGGCTGAAATCGATCGTCATTAACATGTTTACGCCCTTAAATATTTGTGGTTCAGTAGCCTCGCCCACTGAGGTCAAACATGAAAGAGGAGAAATATTAGAAAGATTCTAAACTTTTCCGAGCTGAAAGTGGATATCCTCACATCTGTGGTGGAAACTCACAAGGATTTTCTCTTTGGAAGCATCAAAACTGGTCTAAAAGCAGTCCAGAAAACTCCTGTCTGGAGCAGGATTATGGTGGCGGTGAACAGCACTGCCGCGGAATAGTGGACAGTAACTGAAGTTTGAATCAATCATTAGTCAGTATGTTGCTTGTGATGATAAATCAATATCTCATACATGCCTCATATTTTTATTGCCATGACATAGGGTACATTTCTCCTATTATTGAAAGTTTATAGTTTAAATTTGTTGCGTCTTTGTAATGTAGAGCAGACTGGAGAGTCTGACAGAGGCTGAACAAAAATGATTATCAACGTCACCAAATGATGTGTTGCTGCCCCTGAGGCACATTTTTATGGATTTCAGTTGGATTTTAAATAGCAAGAGCACTTTCTAAACTTATATTTTACATCAGAATCCACAGATAAGGTCCTGTCTCCTCTGAACAGCACCTACGTGGAGTCTCTCCTCATTATTGTTCTCCGGGCATCGGGTCCTCACGTTGCACCGGCACAGCTAATGGCACTCCATTCGCCAGTGTAACATTGTGCAAAACTATACTGGCCCAAATGATGTCCCACACCCTTTCAGGAGTGTACAACAATGTCCCCGCTGCCGGACCAAGACAGAGACACCTGCCTTTTAGGAGTCAAATGCAGCGCTCCACAGTGGCGCGTGTGCGCACAATGTTAAAACGGCGCTCCTGCTCTGTGGTAGTGTTTCTGGGCAGAGTTATCAAATAGGCCTATTCACTAGGGACATAACTTTATTTTATTTTATTTACATCTTAATCTTTAATGAAATCTGGCTGATTGTGCTTAATGACAGGTTTGAGGTTTGTTTATCAATTATTTTGAGACAGATATTTGCTGCACTGCAGATCCACACTGACTCAAACTTGCGTACACGATGTCAGACCTGTCGTGAGATTTGGTCGTAGCGTACGCTCACGTGCAGATTGATAAATCCGATCCTCACGTCAAAATTTTCATACGCAAGGTGTCGAAAGTTTTCTGCCGTACACAAGCTTTATAAATGAGGGCCAATGTGATTTCAGCGGCACATTTTCATTCACAGTGACGTCTAATGTCATTGTTTTCTGTTGGCATTTTAAACCAATGCATAAAATCACTACTCTGCACCTTTAAATGTCTTTGACAGAATCCTTTAACTCAGCTAGTCCTCTAACTTTCCCAGTGCCCCTGTGTTCAATCCATGTCTGTCCTCATCACTTCAGAAGTGTCTTCTTGTTTGAATATCCCTCACTGCTGTTAACCTCTTCTTTTCTCTTTTCTTGGTGGCTGATCAGCCACTGACCAAGAATTTCAACATGTTTGCTGTCCAAATAAAAGAGATAGGTAGAAAAGATAATGAATGGAAAGGTGTGATTATAATGAAGCGATGACGTGTTTTTCACTAATAGACACCCAGAGATGAGAATTGCAGAGAAATCTTGAAGACTCCAAAATCAGGCAACTGGACTGTGTAGAGTTGAGATGAAATTTCGCCTCTTATCCAAGAAGCCTCTTTAGTTCTAATTGTTTCTAGTGTAAAGAGCAGATATTTATCTTACTGGAGAAGGGGACAGACAACGACTGGGAGGAGTTGGAAAGAATGGGCTGTAGAAACCCATCTCCAGGTGTTCACCCCTGAGGGTCGTTCACCTGAAAGGGTTGTTAACGACCCCTGTCATGTGACCACATGACTCATGCCACCTGAGTCATGTGGTCCCAGGTGTGAACGTTTGTGGAGCTTCCTGGGGAAGGAACTGAGAACTACATTGTAAGTGCCGCAGAGATTGTGCATGAGTCCACCCCCTCTGTTCAGAGAAGGTTTCTCCAGCCTGGTAAAGATGGCTTCTTTAACTCCTCTTTCAAACCATCTGTCTTCTCAAGCCAACACCTGTACATTGCTGAGAACATTTATGATCATTTCTTTATCATTTCCTTAAATAAAGTTTTGGATGTTTTCCCAATCCTCACCCAAGATGACATATGAAATGTTGAAACTGAAAATGTTATTGTTCCATGTTGTAGTTATACTTCTAATCTAGTAAAATATCACAAAAGGAACTGCTTTTTGAATTCTTTCAGCCACGTTTCAGAGCTGGAGGTTTGGGCAATTCTCTCAGTGTTGGGGAAAAATGTTGTGCCTTGGTTGTGCTTTCCCTCCACCGTAAACAGTGATCCCACATGAAACCCTCTGGTTCAGCCATCAAATGTGAATGAATGTTTCCCTTTGTTGACAGATCTGGAGAGAGATGACTGAGCTTGTCTCCTCCAACAACAACTACTCCTGCTACAGAAAAGCATTCAATGAGTGCCAGGGCTTCAAAATCCCCATCTTGGGTGTGCACCTGAAGGATCTCATCGCGGTGCACGTTGTCTTTCCTGACTGGGTAGATGACAGAAACAAGGTGAACCTGGTGAAGATGCATCAGCTCTACATGACCTTCAATGAGCTGGTGTCGTTACAGAGTGCAGCGGCTCAGGTTGAGCCCAACATGGACCTTATCTACCTGCTAACGGTAAGTGATAACTGTTGCATCCTCAGTCATTGTGCAAACTTTACTGCTCTCAGTTTTCCATATAGTAGCCATTGATTTAAACATTATATTTTCAGCTTTCTTTAGACCTTTATTACACGGAGGATGAGATTTACGAGCTGTCATTACTGAGAGAGCCTCGTAACCCCAAGTCATTGGTAAGTTTTGCCTTCATAGGAAGTATATTGTGCTTAGGTTTGTCTGATTTAAGGATCAAATTAACAAAAGGACTGTAAAGCTTTTGAGCGCACTGTATTAGTGCAAATCAGACCAAAAGAGGCGACAATGTTTCACTCATGAAGCTATCCCAGGGGTTCAATGCATCAGAAACTGTGCTACAGCACTAAATGCTTCTCATTGTTTTTTTTTTTCTCATAAAATTAACAGAGCCACTGTGCATTCATTGAGGCAAAATTGGTCCATCTATGTGCAAATGCAAGGCTGTTTACAGCTTACAATTACACAGCTAGCATGAAATTTGTCATGTAATTCCTTAACTCAGTTATATGATTTAGTTCAGACTCTCCGACAATGCCATGCTGCTGTGCTGTCCCTACGGATCTACTTAGGGAATACAGAGGAATGATTCTTGATACAAGTCAAAATACAAAACGCCAATACTCAGGCCCACCTGAGTTCAGACACTGAGTTCACTGTGCTCTCAGTTGCATCTTTTAGGATTTAGAGTTGATCATTACTCCAAAACGGGGGGGTGGGGGGTGGGGGGGGGGGGGGTGGTTACCCTCAATGTACGGATGCAGTACTGATAATTATACTGAAATGTTTAAAACCCATCAATGCCTTTAGACCCAAAAAGTAATCCAGAGAGAAAGTCAGTGAACGTAACCTCAGTCCTGTGTTTGTGTGTCATGTCTTCACACACAGCCTACCTCACCAACAACTCCCAATAAACCTCTGGCCCCCCTGGACTGGGCCTCGGGTGTCACCACCAAGCCAGATCCCTCTGTGGTCAACAAACACATCAGGAAACTGGTGGACGTGAGTGTACGATCTTAGTTTAATCATGTGCACAGCTGTGCGAGCAGTATATTTAGAGTAACCTTCATCTTTGTGAAGTCTGTTTTCAGGAATTATGACCATGACCACGATGGATACATTTCTCAAGAGGACTTTGAGAACATCGCTGCTAACTTCCCATTCCTGGACTCCTTCTGTGTTTTGGACAAAGATCAGTGAGTAAAAAGAGACAATTTTAGATGCTGAAGTTGCTGCCTGAGAAATGAGATCTGATTTAGTCACAGTGGCCCTCATTTATCAATCTTGCGTAGAACTGAGTGCAGATCTGAGCGCTGGATTCATCGTATGATAGGACACACGTGAGATTTATGAAAGGGTTCGTATCTGACCAATCCCAGCGTACGTATAAATGCGGCGGCTGAAATCGATCGTCATTAACATGTTTACGCCCTTAAATATTCGTGGTTCAAAAGCCTCGCCCACTGAGGTCAAACATGAAAGAGGAGAATATTAGAAAGATTCAAAACTTTTCCGAGCTTAAAGTGGATATCCTTACATCTGTTGTGGAAACTAATAAAGATTTGTTCTTTGGAAGCATCAAAACTGGTCTAAAAGCAGTCCAGAAAACTCCTGTCTGGATCAGGATTATGGTGGCGGTGAACAGCGCTGCTGCGGAATAGTGGACAGTGGCTGAAGTTTAAATAAATCATTAGTCAATAAGTTGCTCATGATGATAAATTAATATCTCATACATGCTTCATATTTTTTATTGCCATGACATAGGCTATTCTGCTCCTATTATTGAAAGTATTTAGTTTTAATTTGTTGCGTCTTTGTAATGTAGAGCAGACTGGAGAGTCTGACAGAGGCTGAACAAAAATAATTATTAACGTCACTAAACGGTGTGTTGCTGCCCCTGAGGCACATTTTTATGAATTTCTATTGGATTTTATCACTGATTAAACAGCAAGAGCGCTTTCTAAACTTATATTTTACATCAGAATCCATGGATAAGGTCCTGTCTCCTCTGTACAGCACCTTTGTGGAGTCTCTCCTTGTTATTGTTCTCCGGGCATTGGGTCCTCTCGTTGCACTGGCACAGCCAATGGCACTCCATTCGCTGGGCATGTGGGCAGTGTTAAAACGGCGATCCTGCTCTGTGGCAGTGTTTCTGATCAGTTATCAAATAGGCCCACTAAGGACATGACAAATTTATTTTATTTATGTCTTAATCTTTAATGAAATCTGGCTGGTTGTGCTTAATGACAGGTTTGAGGTTTGTATATCAATTATTTTCAGACAGATATTTGCTGCACCGCAGACCCACACTGACTCAAACTCGCGTACACGATGTCAGACCTGTCGTGTGATTTGGTCGTAACGACGCTCACATGCAGATTGATAAATGCCGATCCTCACGCCACAACTTAAGTACGCAAGGTGTACGCAAATTTCTGCCATAAGCAAGCTTGATAAATGAGGGCCAGTGTGATTATGAAGCTACATTGTTGGTTTTAATTTGTCTAAACTTAACTTTGAGATGGCTCATATTTACCGTGAACTTGAACATCGTGTTTGTAACATTCATGCAAATCCTGTCTTACTCCTTATCACAAAATATTAGATCAGATCTCCAAAGTTGACAATGTCTTTTCCCCTAGTCTCTAAACAAACACAGATAATACACACATTTTGCGGCATATTTTTAAGAACAGATGCCATCACACATGTATTTTTCCTCCTCCTTCTCCTCTCAGAGACGGACTGATCAGTAAGGATGAGATGATAGCGTATTTCCTCCGAGCTAATCCCTTGCTACAGTGTAAAATGGGACCAGGTTTCATCCATGACTTCCAGGAAATGACATACCTGAAGCCCACCTTCTGTGAACACTGTGCTGGATTTGTGAGTAACTCTAAGTTTCTTTCACCCCACCGTCTATGCAGCCTTGTCCAACCTCAATCCATTTTAAAAGGTTCAAACTTACAAGTGCAGCCTGATAAACTCGCACCACCTTGGTCACATAAATTAGTCTATGCTTGGTTTTGTGTCTTCATTTTTATCCACATGGATGTGGTAATAAGTTGTATATAGTTTATCTGAGATATAAAACATTTTCTTATTTTTTGTCCCTCCTCTTTCATAAATTCTGGACCTGAAGCTTTGGGGAATCATCAAGCAGGGCTACAAATGCAAAGGTATTGTTGTTTTATATAGAAATTATATATATAGAAATTATAACATTGCATGATAACCGGTGATTGCCAGTGAACTTTGTTTCTGGATCAGAACTCTCTGATCTCTGATCAGGCCATCTCCTGTTATCAGTAAGCTGGGACATTTGTGAGGGACTGAGATGGAGATAATTCAACGTGCTTACTCATACACAAACACAGAGAATAACCAGACACACCTCCTCCAACTCAACACCTTCTTGGCCCCTATCCCCCCCTCCCTCCCTGTTGTAGTGCAGGTACTTCATGTTGATGCCATAGACTGTATAAAGAATGGACGCCGTCTGCCTCCTCTCTTGGTGAAGCCACTCCAAGAACAGCACCCTCTGTTGATGGGCTGCAGTATAGGTCATAAATCCCGCCTCCGCCAGCAAAGCTTATGGGGCTGTGGACAAACTTTAGAAATTTATTACACAGAACATAAATTTTTCTTCCCCCTGGTTGTGATGTTGACATGTAGTTACAGTAAGACTAGTTTGTGCTCAAGTCCTCTTTTTTCTGTACAGCTCCATTTTCATAAGTTATTAGGGGGTTCATGTTTTCTGTGATTGACACCTGATACAGCCTATGGGCGTTCAGGGATTGCGTAGCTCTCCCGAGGGGTACGCAGTTTGAGCCAAGCGTCATCACAGGGACTCTCGGCGACTGCGCGGCAGAATGCGTGCATCGCTACTGCGCAGAGCTGGTTTCAGGTAATGGAGAAAAATCCCGGAAATACAGAGAGCTATTTGGCTTCAAATCCGTATATAGGCGGTAGGCAGAACCAAGTTGTCCATAGTATATACAGTTTATGGTTGATGCTTGCACCAAGTATGGATGCACTCACCCCAAGGTCTGTGCTGTGACACCCTCCCTCCCTGACACCTGCCCTCTTCCCACATGTGCAAGTTCTCGGGTAATTTTGCTGTAATGCCTTACTATGTTGCTTATGTATTGAGGTATTTTTTTTACTGATCTCACACTGTAGCAGAGTTTGGAGTTGCCCCCCCGGAGCGCCGGTCAGGGGCTGGCGATCCTACAGTTCTCCTATTCCTGTCACCCTGTATGCATCTTTCTACTGTATGTTTCATGGAAAGGATGAACTGTAAATGGAAATTTCCCCTTGTGGGACTAATAAAAAAATATCTTCTTATCTTATCTTATCTTATCTTATCTTATCTTAACAAAAAACCCTGTACCCTCTTCACCCAGTAGAAGATAGATACCATATAATTCTATGTATGATTCACATAGACAGGACCAACTGAAGGTAAGTGCGATGTAGGTAGTCACCAAAGGCGACATGATCTGGAGAGGTTGAGCCTTAATATGACTGTGTCCCTGTTTTCTGCCCTGGTTGTCAGCTTATGTTTCTGTTCTTTGCAGACTGTGGGGTGAACTGTCATAAACAGTGTCGGGAGCTGCTGGTTCTGGCCTGTAGGAAGCTGATCCGCTCGGGCTCTCTGGGCAGTGTTTCTCCTCCCAGACTGACCCACAGCTCTCTGCCTAACAGCCCCACCCTGCCAACCTGTAAAGGTCATTCTCTGCCCCACACATTCACAAGATTTAGACCATATACAGTTGAAACCAGAAGTTTAAATGCACGATATAAAAAGGCACATAACTTTTTTTTCTCACCGTCTAACATTAAATCACAATAAAATTTCCTGTTTTTGGTCAATTAGGATTATCAAAATTATTTTCATTTGCTAAATGCCAGAATAGTGTGAGAGAGGATTTTTTAGACATTTTTTTATTACTATCTCAAGAGTCAAAAGTTTACATACATTTCATTAGTATTTGGTAGCTGCCTTTAAATTGTATGACTTGGGTCAAATGTTTTGGATACAGATTTAGTCCTTATTGCCTGTGTTTCCTGTCTTCAGATGAGGATGAGGTGTTTGAGTTCCCATCCGTCACAGCACCAGGTCCAGCTCTGGACCCTCGCCCGTCCATCACCCTGATGACAGGCTCAGCGCAGAGGATCTCTGTGCGCCTGCAGAGAGCCACGACCAGCCAGGCCACACAGACTGAGCCCCTGTGGCCTGAACACAGCTGGGGGACTACAGACAGTGGATCTCACACTTTCCCTAAAATGAAATACAGGACTCACAGAAAAGTGTCTAAAAATAGAGGCTTCGCTCGCTGGGAAAACCAGAATGACAGCCAGCACCAGCCAGTGTCCCTACGGTGCAGCATGGACTCACAGCAGAGGTCAGAGGTCTCAGGAGAGCCTGTCCAGAACGGGGGCACACACAGAAGGAAGGTAATGCGGCTGTAAGCCATGTACAATATTATTTTCACAGCTGTATAATTCATGTAGTTTTCAGACACTGGAGAAGAAGCTTTAATAAAATACTCAAAACTAAAAGTGAAATCCCTGTCTTCTCCAGGGGTAAATAACAAGAATGATACTGACATTTTTGTTTATTTTTGGAGACAGGTATCATGTGCAAACCAAAGAGGCTTATTCAGATGAGGTTACATAGTATTGAAATACACACGTTCTCACCCCACAGGCAGATTTATTTATTTACCTCAAAATTAGTTATCAGTATTAGGTTTTGCTTAATCACACACCCTGTAGATGCCTGTGTGCACTACGGTGGATGGAGACAGAAGTCTCCCCAAAATTAAACACATTGGAAAAAAATGGTCCATTCTTTTTCTCATGCTTAAAAGCAAAAGTCTGAAAAAAAGTTCAGATTGTGATGAAATAAATCAATCACCAAAGTGTGATGTGCATATCTGTGCAAACCATGTGCATATGTACTTTATCCACGTTTATTGGGACCAGAGCACACATCCTTTAACTCTGATGGGTGATGTTTCGCTGGAGCATCTTTTGATAAGTTCATTGCTGATGAATTTACAGAGTTTACACAGTTTTGTTGCTCATCAATAGACAGTCAAGAATTCAGCTACACATTTGTGTTGCTGCACCTGCAGCGCTCTGATCAGCTGTCTGAGTCTATGGTGCACAAGTTAACTTGTTTTTCTGGGCTCTATTTTCGTGTACGCCGGTGAGGCGGCGGAGGGTGGCGGACCCCGCACAGTTGTATTTTCATCTGGCGGAGCCCCGCATACAGCCAGTTTGGTATTTTCGTGGACTGAGGCGCACCGAGGTCCGCCAAGTTGGGCGTGGTGGCGTGGCAGGGGGAGGTGTCAACAGAATCAGTGGACGCAGCGACATTTTCGTACTCGCCACCGGCGTATAAAGAGCGCTGAAAGCTCGCCGATTCAAACCTGGTCAGCTTTCAGCACAGGCGGAGCGCAGCTGGTCAAGTGGTATTTTGGTAGACCAGCGACGTATCGGCATATGTCACTGATGCCTCACCGGCAGGTTTCCACAGTGTCAGGCACATTTCAGTGCAATAGATAATCAACAACAACTAATATTCTGAGTCAGCACATACATTTAGATCTATATAGATATATTCTGATCTATATCTGATCTGATGAGTGCGTTTGGCACGTGTTTGAACACTCAACCTGACCGAATCAACACAGCTGAAACCGTATTTAACTAAATTAAATATCTAGTAAATAGACACACATGATGAAGTTAACAAGATATTTAATTTTTCTCCCTCCTTTTCTTTCTTCCTCTTCCTCTTATTTATTGCGCAGCTTGACCTGGACATGTCTCCGTGTCCTCTCCCTGTCCTGCTGCTGCTGCTGAACAGATGATTTGTTTCAGTGCTCAGATGAGTTATTTACTTTAAGCCGACATACGAATATTATAATATTCAGTTTTGTGAGTCAAATTTATTTTATATGCCAACATCTATGAAAGAGAGACAGAGCCAGGCCACGGAGCGCGATGCGTCATTATGCACAGATGGATCCGATTTTAATGCCATTTTTGGAATTTATGATGTGATCTCTGCGCACAACCCACCTTTGTCACGTGAGGTTTGAATATATGCAACTTTATGTGAGTGTCTTTATTTGTGGAAAAGGATGTTTGTCTTACCAGTGGGTCCAACATTACACACACCAAATCCATCTGTGCTCATATGAGAGAGTGTGAAGGACGTCCTCTGCAGTGCTTACAGTGACACTTGTTGAGGGGCTGCCTTCTGTCGCCATCATGTGGCATTGCTGTCTTCAGACATCTCTTGATCTCTTTGACTACTTCACGAAAATATTAATATGCCTCGCCGGTGGCGGATTTAAAGGCGAGGAGAGGAGCTGATGTCATTGGTCAATACAGGTCTCGGCTGTGTTCAACCCACTCCACGCCCTCTCTCCTCCCTCTCTACGACTTATGCCGCTGGGAGGAGCTGAGTTAGGGAGGGGGGATACTTACGCCGGGCTGCGCCGCTCACCAAAATACCAAATTGTGCCTTGTCGGCGCGGCGGACCTGACTCAAGCCGTGCACGTCTCCGACGAGAGCCCTGAGTGTTTGGGACGGCTTTTAAACCGACACTGCTGCAGTTGCTTTAGCCCAGTGTCCATGCCGTTTTTTCTGTCTGTTTTTTCAGACTGACCATCCTTCCCTGTGGCAAACACAATAATTACTGACCATATACAACTCTGCTGGAAAAATAAACCATCTCTGTGATCCAAGTTTTAAATGAATAATATTTCTTCTTCTCCTCTCCAGGACAGCTGACTTGGTCACAGTGGTGTCAGGCAGTCCTGCAAGCCTAGAAAGGGTCCAGCAGCTGGGACCAGGAAGCTGCTCTGTTTGGGGGACGTGCTGGGCTGCCTGAAGTCCCCCCTCAGTGACCTGGAGCTATCACATCCGCTCTAGACTTAATGTAGAGCTGCATGTCAAGACTGAATAAAAAAAAAACACTTCAGTTTAGACTTAGAATGTGTAAGACGTCGACACTTGAAACATTTTTAGACCTAAAGTTTGGGATGAAATCTCAGCCAGTCAGTTATTTAAGACCCAGCTGGAGGACATGGTGCAAAGTGTAAGAGAAAGTCAGTGGTTCCCCCCAAATCTGGGGTAAGCAGAGAAAGTGTGGGGATAAGGGTTAGTGTAGATATTTATTTGTTGTGTTGGAAAAAAGGAAAAGTGAAAATGAAAGTGAAACTAAGGGCATCAAATAAAAACGCAGTGTAATTCTGCAAAGGTGAGTTTTAAGACATGTTTTCCGGTGTTTATTGCAGATATTTTTTTAATTATTTATTTGTTTCAAGAAAAGCTGCAACAGTCACACACTTCAACACTGTCACTGTCATGCAGGTGAATTGTGACCCTGATATGAGTTTTTAAAAAGCACAATAGCCCTGAAAAGAATCTGAAAATCATCAGATTTCAAAAAGTAGCTAATTTAAAAGCAGAACGTTTGAGATCAAAAACACTTGGTTGAGTTTATTTACATTTGATCAGAGTTAGATGGGAGCCAAATAGAAATGATAAACCTTGTCTTTAATGATTTCATGTGATGAATCCATGCTACATTACAGACTAATTACAGCTGTCACAGTTTTTCTGTTTATTTGATCGATTTGTTTAAACTGTTTCGTGTTTATATTGTCCTGTTTTATTTGGTAAAAATTTTCTGTTACTTTGTGAGCTACAAAAATACATTTCAAATTTCTTTAGAGTAGTTCAATTTGGTACAAAGCATTTATTTTATAGATAGGTAAACATACACCTCTCTAACATAATGAGCACTGATGCTGTCCAGTATCATCAAAGTGGATGTGTTTGGAGCAGAAAGAGGGCCAATGAAAGAACTGAATGAGTCTGAAAGTGAAGGCTGGACCACTGGGTCAACCGGGCATCTTCAAAAACTGCAGACCTGATGAATGGACATGCTCAAAGGTAACTATCATTAATAGTGGTGGCCTCTTGTCTTAGAAAACATGCCAAAGTGCCCCATCAGATGCTACTATAGTGACACAAAATAAAAATACACATTTCATGTGACACCAGCTGATGCATTTCAGTGATGGAGGCCACCTGCAGGCAATAATACTCAGCAGCTTTCCCTGCCCTGGTAGCTGTAGTCCAGCTGACATGATTGTCAACCTGGTCTGTGGTATTTCTTAATTATCACCTCCTTTACCAGTTCTTCAGCAAGACAGCATGTTGAAATCACCCACTAACTCTAAACCCTGCTCTGTTGCAGTGTTCATTTGGCAGCTTTTCCAGATTTAGTCTCTGTTTAGACCAACCTAGTCTTTACGTCTGTGTGACAGAAATGTGACAAAAGATTGACTGGAGTTCAAATGGTTTTGAACTGATCAATACTTGCTCATGTACATACCTCTGGGGGGGATGAGGCAGGCTGAAAGACGTTTGAAGCAAACCCAGTTTACAACAAGCAGAAATGTTTCTACAGACTGTGACCTCAGGTGACTGTGATATGAAGGTTCAGTCTGAACAGGTGGGTGTGATGTGGAGAGCCGACAAGAGCTTGACAAAGGCTCGCTCTGGATGTCCACACATGCTCACCAACTCTGGGGTGTGTTTCAGCTAAATCCATAAAGGCCAAGGCCTGTCCTACTGTCAAATCTTCAAGTGTGTGAGGGATCTCTGCCAGACTTTTTGAGCCCTTATTGCAACCGTTCCAAAAGTGGGCATCTCTGCAGACTTAGCATGAGGGAATTACCCAGAGTTCATAGCATTGTGACATGGAACAGGGGAAGCTTGCAAGTATGGAGGAGTATACAAAGACCAAAACATTGTAAGACATGTGAGGCATGAGAGAATGCTTAACAAATTAACTAACGCAAAATTCAAATAATGTTAAATTTATTTAAATCAGATTTATGTAACTGAAAAATAGAAATATCAGACATTATCTGCCTCTTTCTCCAGAGGCGGGAGGAAAATTAGTCATATCCCTGTGTTGTTTTATGATGGAGGTAGTTGGAGAAAGAAAAATAAAGTGAAATAAAATCATGCCACCAAGGTGTGGTGCTGTCAGGTTTTTGGGAACAGTTAGTGCTGAGTTTAATGCATGAGCCCTTGCAGCCTCATGCATTAAATTCCATTTCCAGGTGAGCTCAGTTAAGTCTTTAAGGGCTCAGGGTTTAGGGTTAAGGGAGCAAATGGAGATTCAACCAAAGCCCAGACCATGACTGCCCCTCAATCAGACAGAGTTTTTTTTTTATATAAGTGATTTAAATCAAGTAGTCAACAAATGTCAATGAAAAAAATGATTGAAAAATGCAAAATGATTTAATCTATTGAGACAGCATATAGTAGAAAACTACATTACACCACCTCACCTGCGTATTACATAAAAAGGTAATAAATTGTCTGTTATTATTGTTATCATTATGATTGACCCATAACTGTAACATTCAATGACAATGAGAGAGACGTTTGCAGATCTCAGTATCATCAGGACATGGTGGATACTTAGGAAGGCCTGTACAAAGCAGCTTTGTTGCAGGCTCCCCTTCTGGCGCTGACAGCTCGGCTCAGGCCTTTTAAGAAACAGAAATGGATCAAACGTTGGGCAGACGTGACATTTTACAGAACATTAAACGAACAGAAGATTTAACCTCTAGTCTTTGCTTCAACACCACCTCAGGGGCAGACGGCTAACTTTACACCCCAGCGTGACACCATGAAATCCTCTGAGCTCATTTCTGCTTCTGCCACAGGGTCTGTCCTTTTGCACCACCTACTGGACAAACCTTAAGTTGACCTTAAAAATGAGTCCTGGATGTTGGCTGAGATACCAACTTCACAATGCCAGTCAATGCTCTTTCCATGGGTCTGCATCTTTAAGGGATAAGAGGGCCAATATTGGACCCTGACAGGTTTCCAACATGACATTTATTGTGTCATGTTAAATCCTGACTTTGTGTCCCCATAAAAACCTTTCATAGAAATCTGTATGCTCAGTTAGCTCATTACAGAGGTAAAAGCTTTTAAATAATTTGAAGACTCAAAAATCCTTTTTTTTTTCCCATGGATTATCTTTTTTTTAATTTTTTTTATTTTATTTGTAAAATATTTTTAAATGTTTTCTAAGTCATTTTCTCACGAGAATGAAGCTGTAAGAAATCAAGCATAAGAAGTCACATTATTACAAAAATAAAGTGGTAATGGACTCATAATATTAGGAGAATAAAGTCTTTGTGTTGTGAGAATAACGTGGTAGTTTTGGTTCACAGTAAAGAGCCAGCTGTCAGGTTAAAGTGTCTCTAATTTTTTGTCTCTACATTATTATAAAGATCAGGACTGAGAAAAAAAGCTAAGACGTACAGTATCCCCCCTTCAACAGCATTAAGAGGCTGATTATCCACTAAACGAACAGCTTTGAATATTTATTTATCCTTAATTTTAAAAATATTTTTGGTAAAATTAACCTAAAATAACTCTCAGTGAGCTATCTCTGTGTCTCACCGAGATAGAGAAAAAGTCCTGGCCAAGGCTGCAACTTGGTATGATTTTACTACAACTTCATTCTCATGAGAAAAAAATCTTGAAATCTTTTTCTCCCTGAACTGTGCCCCTAATCTTCCGTTGTATGAAAGAAACAGTCTGATTCAAATTGATGGACCTAAGCTGTAACATACCTAGTTCAGAGTGCTGCTTAACTGACAACTAACTTTTAGAGAGCAGACAGGCTGATGGCAGATTTTTAATATTTAATAATAATAACAAAGGAGAAACCAAACTGTTTCAGGTAGAGGTTACCAGACCAGCCCTCTGAATGATCTCAAAATACCATTTATCCACCTGTTTCATTACCTGACTGTTTAACTGGTTTACCATGCTTTGATGAAATTTAAGTTTTGTGTTATGTGTCTTATCTAGTCTCTACAGATTTCTACAAATGGAATAACCAGTGAAGAAGCACTCTCCTAATCACTGTTTGAAAATCTCTCTGTCAAAAAGAATCAATGGTAATACTTCAAAAGCTGTGACTTTGACATATGCTGTGGTAATGCTAATAAACAGAAAATCTGTGTCTCGAAGCACAAAACAACTGTGAAGCTGATTTATTTACAAATGTGGGATTAATTGAATGTGAACACCCAATGTGATGGATACTGACATTACAGATCCTGGACACTAGGGGTGTTATTTGTTTGTTTAATTGTACTAATTTCTGGCTCTTCACTCAAATACAGAGACAGGGGGGATGTATTTCTGATCCTGACCATAGACTGTTTATAATATATACAGTGGATATAAAAAGTCTACACACCCCTGTTCAACTGCCAGGTTTTCATGATGTAAGAAAATGACAGCAAGATAAATATTTTCACAACTTTTTCCACCTTTAATGTGACCTATAACCTGTACAATGCAATTGGAAAACAAACTGAAACCTTTAAGGGGAAAACTAAAATATAGAAAAGTTAAAATAACCTGGTTGCATAAATATGCACACCCTTAAACTAATACTTTGTTGCAGCACCTTTGACTTTTATTACAGCACTCTTTTTGGGTAGAAGTCTACCAACGTGGCACATCTTGATGTGACAATATTTGCCCACTCTTCTTTGCAAAACCGCTCCAAATCTGACAGATTGCGAGGGCATCTCCTATGCACAGTCCTCCTCAGATCACTCCACAAATGTTCAATGGGATTCAGGTCTGGGCTCTGGCTGGGCCATTCCAAAGTCTCAATCTTATTCCAGTGAAGCCATTATTTTGTTGATTTAGATGTGTGCTTTGGGTCATTGGGT